CTTCCGGCGAGGCGCGCTGCCGCCCTGCCGCCCTCCATGCAGGCCGTCTTGGGTCTTGTCCATCTGCCCGCGGCCGCCAGGGCCCCGCCAGGGCCGCCAGGGCCCCGCTCGGCCACGGCTCGGCCACGGCCACAGCACGCGACTACACTACACACTAATAAAAGATTTAATTAGCGCCTACTGCATCCGGGGCCGACCGCACCACCGCCGCCGCCGCCACCGCCACCGCCGCGACCACGCCGACGACGCCATCGACGCCGGGGCACTTGATTGAGGGGGGCGGCGTGGGGGCGCCTAATTGGGGATTTAAACCGAGCGCCGGGCAGGGCGCGGCGCGACGACCAGCGAGCTCTCTGTCTGTCTTTCTGTCTCTCTTGTCTGTCTGTCTCTCTCTGCAGTAATGGAATCAAAGGGCTCATCGCGGCGGCCGCCTTACGCAGTGCAACGCAGTGCCATCAGTGTCGCCGTCATTGCCCGGCCAATGCCTTCGCCTCGACTCCGTCTCGACCACCCAATGGCGCCCGATGGCGCCCGATGGCGCCCGATGGCGGCAGCGCAAACAAGTTCCGTTTCAAAAATTGCCGTTTTCGCGTCTCATTTTTCGCTGTTTGCCAGGCTGTTTTCGGTGCAGCGACACACTAATATCCGTCCGGTCAGGCGGAAGCTGGCGTGCTGGCTCGCTTCCTTTTGGCATTGTCTGCCATTGGCCCATTCAAGCATTGCTTCTTGCCTGGCCGGGACGCACCGTGACGCACCGCCTTTCTTGCATTTTCTCAGGAGGCACACCGATATCCGTCGACACGCTTCGTTACCGGGTACACCGGGCAATAAAATCGGGCCAAAACACTGGAAGGAAGGAAGGATGCGGAGGGAGGGACGAGGGGGCACCACGGCACCACGGGGGCTGCAGGACAATGACGTTTACAAGGCCCTTGTTATTATTCCAAGCTGTACTCCCATTCATGTGATTGGGAATTAGTATTTCCCCTGAACGGAGGAGGTGTCAGATGGGTTGAATATATTTGATTGGAATTTATTAGTATAGGAAATTGTTGTTGAAACGTTTAGCTAGGTACGTTGTATACCGAATGGCTCGGCAGCATAGGCCGGTAAGCCTTAGCAGTGACCGTCGGTTCAACTCAAGCATAGGCACCGATTTTTGAGGACTTTTTTTTGCGTTCAAGGGTTGAACGCGCCGTGCCTCCCCATACTGCAGGTTGTTTGTTTACACGCCCTTGTTGCTGTCATTGGGGGAGGCGGAAACGTGCCAACCCAGGAGGAATAATGCGAGCGGATGTGGTGGGGGGAAGGGGGGGGACAAAGGCCGCGTTCGGGGTTGGAAGGGCGGACGCCGGGCTGCGCAGGTAGAGCCGCGCTGCATCGGCTGCATCGGCTGCATCGCACTGCAGCAGCCTCGCAGAGTCAGGTGCAAAAAGGATGACTTCATTCAGGACACCGTTTCCGTTTTTTGCCGCTCGTCTCCGTTCGACAGCGCGGAAACATTTGATTGGTTCGCGCTCGCGAACTGAGCGGCGGCACGGTGTTGTTGGGGAGAGAGAGTGGGGGGAATGGCATTGAAGCTCTTAGAATAACGAGATTGCCCGACAACGACGACGGTCCTGGCGACCTCCTCCAGGGCGGGGCGGCGGCGGTCGGGGGCGTCTTGGAGGGGCTCACGGCGGGGGCAGGAAAGCACGTCCATGTCCTGCAGGACGCCGCCAGGACGCCGCCAGGACGGCTGTGAGAGCGCCCGCGACGCACCGACGCGAAAAGGCCGGGGAAATGGGAGCAATTAATTAAGACTATAGTGATGAGAAAGGAAACGGAGGAAGAAAGGGAGGAAGATGCGGGGGCGGCGGGGGCGTGACTCCTTCCCACGAGCAGGCCCCCCCGGGCCCCGCGCCACTGGCCAATTTTCCCCCAGGTCCACGACGACGACGTCGCAGACAGACGGACCGACAGACGGACCGACAGACGGACAGGCTATTGGGGATTATGTAATTTCCACGCCGCCCGGGCCCAAAATTTTTAGCAAAAATTTACCTCTCGTTTCCGGCGACTCGCAGGGCCCCCCTTTTGCATCCACTGGTCTGTCCGAGGCGGCATTTTGCTTAGAGAGCAAGGTCGGACCTGCCAGCCATGCCTCTGTTACCCCGGACTGCCGATTATATTTAGTTTGGGAGCAGTATTGTCTCAAATTGGCCAAAACGCCGAATGTCTTAAAAAATCATGGGTTTGGGGATTTTAGCAGCCACTGCGCTGATCCAGCGGGCCATTGCTCCCTCAAGGGCAATTGGTCTTTGGACTCCTTTAGCATTCTTTCGTGCGATTACGCTAGTTTGGGAGCAGTTTTCTCAAAGTGGCCAAACGGCCAGGTCAAAGACTGTTCTGGAGGCGTTGCAGCCATGGCTAGACTCGACTGCCATTTTGTTCACGGTGTCTATGAGGTCCTGCCCAATTGCTCTTAAGAATGGACGAAATACAGCCTTCAGACGCAGTCTCAAAGGTCCAAAACAACGATTTTTCAAAGACATTCTGACCGTTTGGCACTTTGAGACAATACTGCTCCCAAACTAAGACGAAATCACACTCCGTAACAAAGGCAGCTAAAGGAAGGGTCAAAGACCAATTGCCGTTGGCGGAGCAATCCCCGCCTCGGTCAGACGCAGTGGCTGCTTAAAATGGCCAAACACGATTCCAGCATGTCTGCCGGCTTGGATTTGACGCAAGTCTGCTCCCAACTGCGAATACACCTGCCCGATATATATGGCAGGAAATCGCTCAGGGGCCGGGCAGGCCGGCCGTGTACTTACGCGACGTTATGGGTATAGGGCCTTTTACTGCCGTTTTCCTTTCCCCCGGTGGGTGCTGCCCCTGCTGCCCCTGCTGCCCCTGGTGGCGGTCGTCTTTAACGAGGTAATTGAGACATTTTTCGGCCTGTAAACCCCCGTGAGGGTAACGCGTGTCGAACGCACCGCACCGGGGGCCGTCCCGCAACGCGGTGGTCCAGGCCGGTCCGGGCGGGGCTTGGCCGTGCTGGACCGCGCCGCCCCCGCTTCGCCTGGCTTACGCGCCGCCCCCGACTGCATCCTGTTCTGGTGTTCCACCGGTGTTCCGGAGCCGAGGCGCATTCCGAGGTGGTATATGGCCCCCGCATTATTCAAACGAGATCATTTCACTGCAGGCCGGCCGGCGGAGGTGCAGCGTGGTGCAGCGTGGTGCAGCGTGGTGCAGCCTGGTGCAGCACGCCGAGTGCCTGTAGGTGCAGCAGCGGCCGTGGCGGCGAAAGAGGCCGCCGAGGCCGCCGTGTGCGTACGTACGTAGTGGGCGCGGTGGGCGCGTAGTGCTCGCATTCCTGGCCCATTATTGGGCTGACCTGTAATGACCACCTCGGCGATGGCTTGCCCGGCTGCCCGTCAACGGAACCCGCTTCGGGCCCCTGCCCGCGGGGTGCTGCGGTGCTGCGCTCGGTGCAGCAGTCCGGTCTAGCCGGCCTGCTCTGCCAGTGCACTGTCCGGCCGGGACGGTCCGGGACGGCTAAAGGGATTAACGGTTCGGCATTAGTCGGACATGACGGACTCGTCGATACATCACTGCAGCTCCATTCTCGCTGTCTGCCTCGGCGTGCCTTGGACGCCACGAGGCTGGGGCTTGCTTGGGGCCCCCGGCGTGGGGCTTCGGCCGACAAAGTGCGTCCCCCAGGTTTGTTCCACATTTGCTCCACGATGGCCCGTCGGTTGGCCACTCCAGGCCGCCGCCCCCGGCCGGGGCACGCCGGGGCCTTCTGGTGGCGCGGCACTCCGTGGCACTCCGGGGCGCTGCACCCCGACTGCTGACGGGCACGCCGCTTCCGGTGGAGGTTCTGCGGAGCGGATGACGGAGCGGATGGGCGCAGCGAGCAGACGAGGCAGACGTCGTGGAGAGGAAGGGAAAGAGCGGGCTTGGGCCTCGGCTTGGGCCTCGGCTTGGGCTCGCTCTGCTCGCTCACCATCTGATCTGGCGCTTCCGGCCCTCGCACACCGGGATGGCGGCCTGGACGGCCTGGACGGCCAGCTCGCGACTCCCACGCGAGGTGCGTCGCGAGCCCCGCCGCTCACCTGACGGCCACCGCCACCGTGGCCGCCGGAACCAGTGTCGCCCGCGTCCCCTACAGCGTGGTCAGCATAACCGCCCTGTGCAGTGCGGTGCAGTGCGGTGCCTCTTCTTCGGACCTTGGCACTGACGTGCGAACACACGCACGCGAGAATGAATGAATGAGTGAGTGAGAGAGTGAGTCACGGCGCGTCCGCTGGTTGGCGGCAATCGGCACGCGCGTGACGTGGTGCGGTCGCCGCGGTCGGCAGACGGCCGGGGTGACTAAGGTTGGGGATGATAAGGCGCGGCCACGGCGACGAGGGTCATCGCCACCGCCAGCTCCGCCAGCCACTACGAGCCCCGCCAGCGCTGTGTGGGGCCGAAGTGCGCGGCGGATGCAGCGCGGGGCCAGTGTGTGAAGGCTGGCACCTAGACGGCGCCGGGCCGCAGAACCTGAGACTATCTGTCGTGCGAAACCAAGCCGCCGCCTCAAGGCCGCGTGTGTGACGGCGACGACGACGGCGACGGCCCGGTCATAGAGTTGACGTCGTTGACGAACGGACTGCATTCTGCGCTCCTAAGGCACGAATGCACCTCCCCCCTCCACCTGACCCGCTCCCGCCGCTCCCCCGCCCCGCCCCCTTCTTAAGGTGGCTCGACACCAGCGCGCTCTGGCGGCAGCCGCACGGCCGCGCCGCCAGCCAGGGCCGCCAGGCAGGCATACGGGCGCGAGTGCAGGCAGGCCAAGGCAGGCGGGCAGCCGAGCTGGCGGGGGCCCGAGCAGATGTTTTGGTCGCGGGGCCCGCACCACGCTGCGCCACCCTCCCCTGCCCTGCCTCGCCTGGCTTGGCTGCTCTGGCTCTGGGTCGGGGACGGGGGGAGGCAGCCGCCCCGCCACCGCCCGCTCCACCCGCCAGCCACCAGCCAGCAGCCAGCCAGTTCAGTTGGTTCCAACGCGCCGAGTCGATCGGTCGTGCCGACGCGCAGTCAGCGCCACGCTCCCGTTGCCCACGACGAGTACCTCGCGTAGTGCCTCACTTGGATTACACACCAGTGCACCCCGCTGCCCTCGCCGTCGACGCCGTCGACGAGCAGCCCTGTGGATTAGCCGAGCCTTCTTCTCCTCCTCGCCTGCTGAGCATTGTAAGCATTGACGCAGGCTTTCAGCTTTCAGCGCGCCCCGCCCCGCCCCGCCCCGCCCCGCCCCGAGCCCTGGCCGCGCCTGCCCCTCTAGGTTCACCGAGGTTCACCACCCCCCGGTGGGGCGGGGCGCGCTGCCGTGCTGTCGGGTCGGGTCGCGCGGAGGGGCGTTTCCCCTGACCACCCCTGTCGCGCGGTTCGATCCTCTATCCCCTCGCTCCGGGCTGCGGGTCCTCGGCGGGTCCTTTGCGCGGGGCAGCCAGGCGCAGCGGCAACCGCGGCGGCGCAGGGAAGGGCAGCCGTGCTGTTCCTTGTGAAAGTTGAACGGTACCCTACCAGCCTGTGCTGCGCAGCGCAGCCATGGCAGCGCAGCCCGCAAGCCTAGCCAGGCGGGCAGCACGGGAAAAGTCGGCCAGGCAGCCAGGCTGCCACAGGCATTCCATCCCGACGGGATTATGCGGCTGGATCAGGACCCTGCACCGAGCTCCAGTCACGACCGAGTCCCGTTGCTCGCGATTTGGCCGCGTTGCGCGGTAGAATCCCCGCAGCACCGCGCAGCAGGCCGTCACCGTCAGCCCCGAGGTGCCTTGATAAGCCGCCCCCCGGCCGCGACCCCCGCACTCCAGGACGCGCCGTAGTACTCGGGTGCAAGCGCCCCGCCAGCCAGCCCGCCCAATCGGGAGCAATTACGTGACGCCCCTGTCCGGGCTGCTGCCTGGAGGCGCGCTTCGCAGCGTCGCAGCCTCGTGGCGCCTCAGCCGCCTCGGCGCACCCCCTTCGGCGGGTGCCCCCTGCCCCGTCTCTTGTCTGCGCAAATTGAAGAGAATTGAGTTGGCTCGGTCGCGTCTGCCAAGTTTAATGGCTGCTGCGGCGGTGGTGCACGCATCGAGCACCGACGACGACGCGATGACGCCGAGCGTCTTGGGCCGCGGACGGGCATGGCGCCCGGCGCCCCGCCCCGCCCCGCCCGCCCGCCCCGCCCGCCCGCCCCGCCCGCGACGCCGCCGCCGGCGTCTGTACCACAACCTTGACGGGCTCGGCGGTGGTCGAGGTTGCAGAGGAGGGGCGCGGGGCGGTGCGGGGCGGTGCGGGGCCGTTCGGCCAAGACACACATCTTGGAGGGCACGGCACGGCGGCGCTTAGAGTCCGCCGAGCCGCGCCTCGCCGCCCCGCCCCGCCTCACAGCGCCAAAAATTTCCAATCCGAACCGGCTGCGAGTCGTCCTGAACTCTGAGCCTGGCAGCCTGGCAGCCCCGGCCGTGCGTGGCGGTGAGGGCACTCCTGCAAGGCCCTCCACTCGACTGATAAGGTGCGCCAAGCACGCCGCCTCGAGACCTCGTCGAGTGCATCGATAGCCACTGATAAGCTCCTGCACCACTCCTGCACATGTGCCGCTCTGCCGCTCCCACGAGTCCGCGGGCTGCCCCTCTGGTGCGCAATTAGCCACGCTGTCGCCGTCCTCCAGCCAGCCAGTCTCGGCCACGGCCTCCTCGAGGTCCACGAGCGCGGCCTGCAGCCTGCAGCAGGCGCGTGGTGCTCGGTCCAGTCACCTGCTTCCTGCGGTGCAGCGCCGCGCTTCGGGCCTTCGGGCCAGTCGGGCCAGTCGGGCCCCGGGGCGGCCTGGCAGGATGCAGCGTGCAGCACGCCGAGCAGGGGTGGCTGGTGGAGCTGGCGGGCTGGACGGACGGAAGGAGTGGCGACGTCCTGTTCGGGGTGCCTCCCCCTCCCCCTTCCCCCTCTGTTGGCTTCCGGGGGATATACACTCCGCGCGGAGCCACCCCGCCCTGCCCCGCCCCGCCCCGCCCCGCCCCCCGCGGTGCCGATGTAAACACAGATGTTCTAGCCGGATTCTTTCGCGGTCCCGCTACTCGCCCGAACGGCCGTGGCGCGCGGCCACGCGGCCACCGCACTGCAGGGCCTAACTGACCGCAACACGCTGTTGCTCCTCGCTGTGCTTTCTCGACGAGACGCTGTTGCTAACCTCCACTTCTTCTTCCTCTTTTGCAGAGATGCAGTTGAAAATGGGGGTGCAGACGGAGCTCAGATCATGGGAGTGGAAGACCTGCCACGCTCCGACCTACCCGGAGCCCGACCTACCCAAAGGTGAGCTCTCGATTTTGACAACGACTTGCCGGCGAGAAGGACAGGGTTTCGAGTTTGAAAGCCCGAATAACGTGGCTGGCGATGCCAAATAAAAGCAAGGCGCGGCGGGGCCGGCAGGCCGGCGGGGGAAGTCCATCGGAGAAAGTTTTCCCAACGCCGCGCCGCGGCGCGTGGCTCTGGCTTTGGCTTTCACACTCTCAGCCGCGCGTGCGCGGATCGGGTTTGCGGCGGCCCGGGCCGAGTCACTGCAAAAAAAAAGACCGAGATAAAAACATAAAACAAACTCTTGAAGCTTGTCGATTGTGCGGGCTGTGCGGGCGTTTACCCCGCGGGGGGAGGGGGGAGGGGGTCATAGACGCCGGCAGCGCTCCGCCGGTCCGCGGCTCCGCGGCCACCGAGACCGCCGCGGCGAGCCCCTAATTGCCAGATCGCGAGGCTCACTGACTGCCCTTCCTTCCGAAAGGCAGCGCGGCGTGTCCGCGACGCGGCGGGGCGCGGCGGGGCGCGGAGGGCACTCCGTGGGGCGGATGCGGCCCGAAGCCGCCTTATGCCGCGGACCTGGGGAACGGCTTCATTCTGGAAACGCGCGCCGCAAGGTGCATCCAGCCCGCCCCAGGCCCGCCCCATCCAGCCGCGCGTGGCGTGGCGGCGTGGCGGCGTGGCGTGCAGTGCGCACGCATCCGGCGTCGCGGTCCGCCCCGCCACTCCCCCCTCGCCCCGCCGCCGCGCCGCTCTTTGGCGGAAAGGCGCGCGGAAACCGGAAGCGGCATAAGAATAAGAATATGAGGCGCGGCGGCCGGAAGGGCCGGAAGGAGGCGGCGGCGGCAGACGACGTGTGGGAACACTGGGAACGCGGCGATTGTTGGCCGCGGGTTCGCGTCCCGTTGGCGGCTTCGAGACACTCTGACTAACGTGGCCGTTCTTGTTGTGTTTGCAGACCCGCGGTGCTGGTCCCGGTCCGACGTGGCCACCTGGCTGCACTTCATGGCCATGCTGCACCACCTCCCCTGCGTGCCCGTCGACCGCTTCCTCATGAACGGCAAGGCCCTCTGCCTCATGTCCATGGACATGTTCCTCGGCAGGGTGCCCCTGGGCGGCAAGCTCCTCTACAAGGACTTCCAGATCCGGCTGGGACGCGCCATGTACTCCAGTTGATCTGTCTGTAGTTGTATCGCCATGTGAGAGTGTGTGTGTGAGTGCGCCTATTCGTGTGAGTGTGTGTGACTGAATGATGTGTGCCTAATTTATGGTTTCTCTTATTGTTTAAGTTCAAGTGATATATTGTGTACGCACTGTGTTGAGGTGGCACCAAACTTGTTTCATTGGAGAATAGTTGGTAGATGCTGCAAAGTATGAGTTTATATGTGTGCGTTGTAGCACTTGTGTTATCATGGCTCTAGGCAATGCAATGCACAAGTTCACTTATTACAATTTGTGATAGTTTCTTTTGCTTTGCAGTGACAAAACGCTCTCGGTGCTTTCCCTCTCAGTGTACTTTTCCGCTACGTGATAGTCCACTTTTGCAATTGTGAATAATACAACTGTGACAATTGTATCTATTTCTATGCTTGTGGACGTGGCATTATGTGATATGTATAGAATTGAACAGTGTTGGATTCTTCAGCATTACTGTAGTGTTCTGCATTTTCCTTATTGATGAGTTTATGTTTTTTTGTACAATATTCCTGTAAAGAGAGATGCATTTAAAATTATTTTATTACCAGGATTTGATGCACTGGCAGCTAAGGTACATACATATCAGTATATTATGTAACTCCCTTTGAAGAATTTCATGACTTCAGTTTATGACTCCAAGGGAAGAACAAATAATAACTTGAGGTGTGCATCTAGTCATTAATTAATATGGTTGATTCATACAGACAATTCATTCATGTACGTAATATGGCTCTAGAGTATCAAATCAACTGTTAAATTTTGTTTTCATAAATTGATTTTGTTTTTCCTTTTCTTTTTTTGCATTTACTCTGGCTGCGCTATATTTATCTCTATTGTTGTTTAGCTGCATAATGGTGTGTGAAGAGATGATCAACATGCTCAACCCATTGGTTTCATCTTATGTGACTTAGGATGGTAGATTCATTGGAAAAGATAAGTAATTTATTAGTTCTCTGCCACTTTCCCTGTTGTAAATTTCCTTTCAGTATTTATGAATAATTTAAACTAAATGTATGTCTTGTGACATTACTGTAAATACCTTGTCTAGTCAATACAAAAAATTTGGAAAGATTAACATCTTGTTACTCAATGTTCTCATCCCTCCAACAACCGAACATATGCAACAGAGCCAACCAAACCACAGCAGAAATGACAGGAGTAGATAATATTTAATGTGTCATACTCCTGACTCATAAAAAAACACACATGCAAAAAAAAAGATATGGGATATAACAAGCTTTAATATGAAGTCCCATTCCGATAAAAATAATCGTCACTGAGTCCGTCGCTATCTGTACACATCACACTAACGTACCTCTACGATTTAAAACAAATATGAACGAATCACTGCCAACGCTGTCAAAATAAATGTCAACGCGGAAATTAGACGAGTCGATCTGGGAGGACTGCATTGAGCTTCGGCGCAATCGTCCCGTGGTGAAAAGTACGCGATAATGATCCGCTCGATCACTGGGTAGGCAACCCATCTGACTTGGCCGCGAGCCTCAGCCGGGGGCATAGGCGACCCATCGCACCGGGCCAGCACTGCGCCACCGCCGGGAGCCTAGGCAACCCAACCGCCACCCCGACGGTGCCGCCGCGGGCGAGTGGTCGTTGTGCAGCGCCCGCGCCATCTCGCGGACGTTGCTCGAACTCGGAGCGCTGGCGGCTGGTTTCGCTTAGTTGCGCTGGCCGCCGCCAGGTGGCTGCCCCGCGCGAGGCTAGCGTCCTGCTAGCGCAGGGCGGGAACGCGGGAACGGGCGCGGCTTCTAGCCATGTTCTAACGGGCTGCGGGCGCTGCGGGGTAGGTCCGCACCGACAAGCGGCCAAGCCACGCCGCCGCGGAGACAGAGCGCGATTAATCCACCTGTCGGGGCCCACCGCGGCACCGCGGCTGGATGGTGATGAGTGGATGTCGGCCTGCCAGCCGAGCGATTCTGCAGTGTGGCGGCCACGGCGGCGTCGCTTCGCTCTCCCTCGCACTCGCATGGCGCGCTCCGAAGGGGCGCAAGAGAGACAGAGCGACACAACTCTGCCCTGGCCGCGTGCCGCCGCGTGCCGTGTGGTCGTGGCCAGACAGAGCCCCGTCACACCGCTTCTCAGGACGGATGGTCGAATTAATTTCGGAATACTCGCGCGGGCCCGGGCCGCCGGCCCGCCTAGGCCCGTCTGCACAACAACAGCGGCGGCAATTACCCGATTTGGGAGGCTTGGACTTCCCCGCCTGGCCCAGCCTTCCACCAGGGAGTGGGGAGTACACTGCAAATGGACCGTGTCAGAAGACGAACGTCAAGGTGCGAGGAGGCTGTGCTCGCAGCAGGCAATCGAACCTTTTCGAACCGCAATTTTTACACGCTCTGGACATGGAGGCAGTCAGAGGCATGAGGGCGTACTCTCATGCAGAATAAAAGCAGTCGCCTTCTTGCTCACAGAGTAGTGTCTGAATTGTCGGAGCAATACAGCCGGGACCGCGATGTCTTACTCAGCTAGTAAGGACTGTTCCCGGTATACGTACCTGGAACCTGGAACCGGACTGACTAAGGGAACAGTGGCGTACAGTCGTGAGGCAGGAAGGCAGAGGCAGGGAGGCTGGCCGTCCGTGTAGTCTGGGATAGTCTGGACGCTTCTGATCAATATTCCACGCCCCGCCCGTTGCCATTACGTTTCGGCTTGACGTGGTTGGCCGGTTAGCCAGTTAGCCGCTCCGATGCGGGCAGTACTACTACTTTGGCGTGGGAAGCGGGGAGGGGGGGGGGCAGGTACAATCCGCGGGTACCAACAAGTTGCCGTACAGTTCATCTAGCAAGTACCCACCGCCTACGGGAGTAGAACTGTAGGGCCTAAAATGGTTTGAGAGGTTTTGGTAGTGTGGGCGCGGTCGGGATGGGTAGGCAGCAGCAGCCCTCGGGCCCGAAGAGTTAGTTCTACTACAGGGCTGCAAGCACACTAGCGGGAACGCACGACAGCTGTCGACTTCCGTCACTTTCCTCGGCGGAGGTCGTCGTCATGCCAGTGTCGTACCGCTGCGCCTTCCCACGACCACCGCGACTGCCGCGACTACCGCGACGACCGCGGCACATTGTACTTAGTCACCAGAGGACCAGTCAAGCCCCCGGCCGGCCGCAGACCACACACGCCGACCGCGGGACGCGCTGCAGCGCGTTGCACTGTTGGAAACATCAAAATGATGGTACTCGTCCTCCGCCGAAACTGCTCAAAAGCAAAAGGGGCGAGGATTACGTGTGGTTACCATGATATTCAACAAATGGGGCTGTTTGACTTCGCGGACGGGTTTCGATCATCGCACTGGGAGATCGCCGTTGAAGAATTGCTCCGCCGAACAGCGGTGCGACTTGTCTCAGAAAGCTGCAGACCGACTCCGAGAGTCGTTTTCGTCGCTCCGTCTCTCTCGCACCCGTGAGGGGTGAGTGCAAAGAGAGACAGAACGACGAAAACGACTCTCGGAATCGGTCGGCGGGAGTAACATTTTGAGAAATGCGCTGGCCGCCGGTCGGCGGGGCGCCAGCAATCAAACACCAGCGCAGCGAGCACAGCCACCTCGTTTGTTTTCCCCCGCGCCTCACAAAGCAAGCTGCGAGCAGCGAGCGCGCCCATCCATTCCCCCGGTTTCGCCAGTGTAGTGTCATGCTAGTGCTGCGGAGGGGTTTCGGCCTGCGCCCTCCCTCACGCCCTCGCGGATCAGCCTGCCAACATGTGTGTCCGGTCGCGTCGCGCAACCGTCCGCGACGTCGCCGTCCAAGTCACCGTCCAAGTCGCCGTCCCCGCCGTCGGGAGATCCTCTTCCTCGGCCTGTCTGTTTGTAAACACGGCACTGCACTGGGAGGGGCGGTGCAGCGCGCGGACCTGTGCCAAAGCAGGGGTGTGCCCCGGCCGTCACCTTCGGCAGTGACTTTGATGTCGCGCGGAAAAATATTAGCTTGCACATCACTATGGGAGATCAGGCTCGGACTGGCCCCCAAAAGGCCCCAGCAGATAAGACGGCAAAAGGCCCCCGATCATCATAGTTTTTACCCTTCATGACCAACTTTGTGAGTCTACCGCTCCCACACAAGTTGCGGTCAATAGCCTAGGCAAAATCGTTGTGGTCAACGTCTTCCCGATACAGGGCATGAAAGAGTAGGGTCTTAAGAATACTAGGACGTCGAGGGAGGCCTTTTACGGCTACTAGATTGGACACAGTGGCCCCCCAAAGTCAGCAAAATCGGCAAATTTCCGAGATTCGACCACTTTTTGACCAACTTTGGTCCCAAAATCGTTGCGGTCAAAGGCAAAATCGTTGTGGTCAACGTCTTCCCGATACAGGGCATGAAAGAGTAGGGTCTTAAGAATACTAGGGCGTCGAGGGAGGCCTTTTAAGGCAACTAGATTGGACACAGTAGCCCCCCAAAGTAAGCAAAATCGGCAAATTTCCGAGATTCGACCACTTTTTGACCAACTTTGGTCCCAAAATCGTTGCGGTCAAAGGCAAAATCGTTGTGGTCAACGTCTTCCCGATACAGGGCATGAAAGAGTAGGGTCTTAAGAATACTAGGGCGTCGAGGGAGGCCTTTTACGGCAACTAGATTGGACACAGTGGCCCCCCAAAGTCAGCAAAATCAGCAAATTTCCGAGATTCGACCACTTTTTGACCAACTTTGGTCCCAAAATCGTTGCGGTCAAAGGCAAAATCGTTGTGGTCAACGTCTTCCCGATACAGGGCATGAAAGAGTAGGGTCTTAAGAATACTAGGACGTCGAGGGAGGCCTTTTACGGCTACTAGATTGGACACAGTGGCCCCCCAAAGTCAGCAAAATCAGCAAATTTCCGAGATTCGACCACTTTTTGACCAACTTTGGTCCCAAAATCGTTGCGGTCAAAGGCAAAATCGTTGTGGTCAACGTCTTCCCGATACAGGGCATGAAAGAGTAGGGTCTTAAGAATACTAGGACGTCGAGGGAGGCCTTTTACGGCTACTAGATTGGACACAGTGGCCCCCAAAGTCAGCAAAATCAGCAAATTTCCGAGATTCGACCACTTTTTGACCAACTTTGGTCCCAAAATCGTTGCGGTCAAAGGCAAAATCGTTGTGGTCAACGTCTTCCCGATACAGGGCATGAAAGAGTAGGGTCTTAAGAATACTATGACGTCGAGGGAGGTCTTTTACGGCTACTAGATTGGACACAGTGGCCGCCCAAAGTCAGCAAAATCAGCAAATTTCCGAGATTCGACCACTTTTTGACCAACTTGGTCGGAAAATCGTTGCGGTCAAAGCCAAAATCGTTGTGGTCAACGTCTTCCCGATACAGGGCATGAAAGAGTAGGGTCTTAATAATACTATGACGTCGAGGAGGTCTTTTACGGCTACTAGATTGGACACAGTGGCCGCCCAAAGTCAGCAAAATCAGCAAATTTCCGAGATTCGACCACTTTTTGACCAACTTGGTCGGAAAATCGTTGCGGTCAAAGCCAAAATCGTTGTGGTCAACGTCTTCCCGATACAGGGCATGAAAGAGTAGGGTCTTAATAATACTATGACGTCGAGGGAGGTCTTTTACGGCTACTAGATTGGACACAGTGGCCCCCCAAAGTCAGCAAAATCAGCAAATTTCCGAGATTCGACCACTTTTTGACCAACTTTGGTCCCAAAATCGTTGCGGTCAAAGGCAAAATCGTTGTGGTCAACGTCTTCCCGATACAGGGCATGAAAGAGTAGGGTCTTAAGAATACTAGGACGTCGAGGGAGGCCTTTTACGGCTACTAGATTGGACACAGTGGCCCCCCAAAGTCAGCAAAATCAGCAAATTTCCGAGATTCGACCACTTTTTGACCAACTTTGGTCCCAAAATCGTTGCGGTCAAAGGCAAAATCGTTGTGGTCAACGTCTTCCCGATACAGGGCATGAAAGAGTAGGGTCTTGAGAATACTAGGACGTTGAGGGAGGCCTTTTACGGCAACTAGATTGGACACAGTGGCCGCCCAAAGTCAGCAAAATTAGCAAATTTCCGAGATTCGACCACTTTTTGACCAACTTTGGTCCCTAAATCGTTGCGGTCAAAGGCAAATCGTTGTGGTCAACGTCTTCCCGATACAGGGCATGAAAGAGTAGGGTCTTGAGAATACTAGGACGTCGAGGGAGGCCGTTGGCTGCAACTAGATCGAAGCAGTGGCCGCTCAAATTCAGCGAAAACGGCCACTTTCGGAGATTCAATCACTTTTTGACCAACTTCGTGACGTTACTGGTCACAAATCCAAAGGCCCCGGCAGATTTTTCTGCCTGTCTGCCCTGGCCAGTCCGAGCCTGTGGGAGATGCATCCAAGTGAATTTTTCACGACACAAAATAGGAAATATATTTTCACTCACCATAATACCCTTTCTAATCAGGCGCTCCTTAAAATTCATGTTCGTTGAGAGCAGGACTTCTGTATTGGTCGTGTGAGGTCAAGCACTTTATTATCGACCCTTATCAGATTTATCAAACATGACCAAGTTGCTCACCCAGAGCAAACCCGGATTCGGCCGGATTCGGCGAAATCGCCCGCGTTCCCAGGAAGGCTGACGCGAGGGCGCTTTCGGTGTAGGAGCCCGCGGCGTGCCAGCGCGAGGTGCTCCTCCCCGCGGGCAGGCGCTGCCGGGCGCTGCCACCTCCCGCTGGCACCGTCCCACCGCCGTCTCACTGTCTCTCCGTCTCTTGTCGGCATGTGGGGATGGTTTACGCTCCGCGACATCTGCCCCGGCCCGCCTCGGCGTTACAGTGCACGGCCATGGCACGGCCATGGCACGACCCAGGTGGACGCAGAGCGTCGCAGAGTCGCCAGCGGCGTCAGTCACTCGCCGGGCAGTCGAAGCGATGCCGACACGTTGCTGCCGTAAAACAAAGGCAAGCGGCGGCGATGCGGTCGCAGTGTCACCTCGAAGCTTCATTGACTCGCCTGCGAGCAAACGGGAAAAAAGAAGAATGAATTTTCCGAGCCTTTCGTGGGGTGATCTCCCTCAGGGCGCGTGCATCGTGCATCGCGGTCCAGACCGAGCTTGTGGAACGAAAATAGCTCGTGACGTTTGGAACGGCTGTAACTACCGGCCTCGTCGCGAGTCCTTCCTGTGCCGATTTGCCGTCGGCCGGACGGACGGACGGAAAGGACGACGGACAGACAGACGGACGGACGGACGGCCACGCGCCGCGGCGAGGCACGGCACGCGAGAGAGACCACGGCGCCGTCGTCGCATCCACCGTCCGCGACGACGGACTACAACGAGCGGACACTCGCTCGTCTCCGAGTTTGGCGGGCACCTTGGCGGCCATCGGTTTCTGGAAGCGTTGCCGCTGATGAGGCGGAGGACCCGGACCCTCGCTAGGACGGCCCACTCGTCGCCCTGTCTCTCTCGCTCCCTGACGCATGGCTCCCTGAGTGCGAGAGAGACAGAGCGACGAAAGCGCTGTGCTGAATGAGCGGCGGCTATCGGGAACGCCACGCAGCGGGGACTCCCGGGCCGCTCCAGCCGTCTCGTGCGGCGGTCCATTTGAGCCGTCCTTCGCTCCGCGGTCCGCGCCGCGCACCGCGATTTTTCCACTGCCGGTTCGCGCGAAGCATGAGCAACAGTGTCGCGCTGCGTGCCGCATGCAACCGCGGTGCTGCAGGCTCAGTCCGAAGCGCTGCGTCGCCCTGTCTCTGTCGCACTCTTGGCGCGTCCCGAGTGGGTGCGAGAGAGACGGCGCCGTTCGGAGCGGGCCGTCTGCACGGCACGGCACGGCGCGGTGCCGCCGGCGGAAGGACACGCCCCGGCGCTGCGCTGTCCGGCGATGCCTGGCGCGCCGACGACGCTGGGGTGCGAAGGGGGTACGCTGGACGCGCTCGACGATGCCCTTATAACGCTGCACTTGGAGCTGGTCGCCGGCGGTCGCTTTCCTCCGCAACGGACGCGGAAACAAGCAGGACAGACGACGAGAAGAACCCGGCAAGATAGTGGTGCTCTCTCGACTCCAGCGGCCCCCAGCGGCGAGCCCGGCCGGGCTAGGACTCGGCGAGGACCGACTCTCCGCTCGTTTATTATCGCTCTGCACTTTCATACGTCGTTTACGAGCGGCAAAACGGTGCGGTCTATATGCCCGACCGACGCCCGCCCTGGTTCCGAACGGCGTGCTCTCGTCGCCCCGTCTCTGTCGCTCTCGCGGCGCGTCGCGGCGCGTCGCGCAGGGGTGCGAGAGAGACGGAGCGCCCGGCCGCCCAATCGGTCGGCTTATACGGCTGCACTTTGCGCCGCCGCGGTGCGCGCACATAACTCCAATTGCAGGAAGCGCGCCTCGCGTCGCCTCGCGTCGCCTCGCGTCGTCCGCACCGTGTTTATGTGCTCGTGCGTGGCGGTGCGGCGATGCGGCCATTCGCTTTCTCCTTTCTTTCTGCGCTAATTCGGCCATCTTGACAGTGTCTGTCTCTGTCGCGCGGCGAGAAAGCACAGCGCAAGCAGCGAGGCGCCTGCGGACGTCGGGGTAGGCAACCCCCCCAGGCAGCCCGCACCGGAGTCCGACGGGACGGCCCGCCAGCAGGCGCTCTGGAGGAGGAGGACTGGGACAGCTGTGGCATTGGCCTCGCACTGCATTTTAATTCAGTTTTCGAATCTGTTTGGCGGAGGGAATTTCGGCAGAGGCCAAAGAGTCACCCCCAGCAGTGCGGCGAGAGCTGTGGTCGGGCAACTTTGCCCAGGGACAGAAGAAGAGAGAGAGACCGAGCTCGGGTTGATTCCATTCATCGCGGTGCGTGTTGCACAGCGCTTCGCTGTCCCGGCAGTGACGCCGTGGTCTTGCTCACTGTCATGTCGGGGGTAGTGCATGGCTCCGAGCCCCGCGGCCCCCGCAGCCCCCGCAGCCCCGCCTCGCGGGATTATCTGGGAAACCGGTCTGACTTAGCGCAGAACTGGTGCAGTTTGTTGGTGGTCTCTCGCTATCGAGAAGGCTAAGGCTGGTGGGGAGATGATGCGGTGGCGAGTCTGCTTGTTTTCCGAGAATAAGCAGCCCTCTTTCTCGGGTTTCGGCTTCGCGCCGTGCGAACCCCCATCACGTGTTCACACTGTAAATCGGCGGAAAAGACCCCCGCCCCCTCCCGAAAAAAACGAAAACAAAGGAATAAATTGGACGAGGAGTGGCACAGAAGCACCTCGAGGACCTCGTCGAGGACGCTCGGCAGTCCGCGCGATCCGGTCCGGTGCCGGCATGCCGCGGCACTGCCTTTACGACAAACCAAATGAGCGCTAAGGACTCGCAGCACTCGGAGCGTCACGTCCCCTCAATAAAACTGTTGGTGGTGATTGTACCTCGGGCGGCCCACGCCGTGCCGTGCCGTGCCGTGCCCTGCCGTGCCCTGCCGTGCCGTGCCGTGCCCTGCCGTGCCCTGCCCTGCGTGCCCTGCCCGTCGCGAAGCGCTACGCGGGGGAACGCATCGCGGAGCGCGGTGGAGGCGGGGCGGGGCGGGCGAGGCGGGGCGGGTGGGGCGGGGCGAGGCGGGGCGCGGTGGGGCGGGGCACGAGGGGCGCGGGCCGGGGCCTGGGGCCCGGTGCCGTCCTGCCGTCCACAGTCGTGCTTTGGAGGGCGTGAGAGACTGAGCTAGCCGTCGTACAGTGGTCGCGCGTGTGTGTGAGTGTGTGTGTGTTCACCCAATTTACCAGGACCATCCCCCAACAGGTGAGTGCCGGATCGAGGCAGCCGGAACCCATTAGTTCAAAAATGAATTAAAAAGTTCAAATGCCCCCCGAATGTGGTGGGTTTGTGTCTGTTCACTATGGATCGCTACTACTGTCTCGCGAGTGTTTTCGAAGTGTGCAAGTGAACGCAGTTTCCCATACAGTACTCCAAAACATTCTCTGAGGAATGAAGGGAAGAGGTTAAACTGGTGGGGGGGCGGTCGCGAGTGAACCCAGGTGAAGCGAATCGGAGCATTTTGGCCCACGTGGCACCTGTGGCTGGCCTGACCGTGCCCGGCCGCCTGGTGTGGGTGCCCGCAGTGCCCGCACTGTTTCGCCTTCGCCGCTTCGCCCCCAGGGGACCGACGCTACACTGCTGTCCTCCCGGACGCAGCCCGCGAGATGATAGTAGCGGCGAAGCCGAAGAATTCGAGGATGAAACGCGTCGCCTCGGAGGCGGCCCGGCAATTAATTCGCTCCTCAGAGCGCGGCGAGAAGGAGAGAGAGGGAGACAGGGCTGTGAGTGTGAGAGAGAAAGAGCGAACCTCTGCAGAGGCTCTGGGGAGGCGAAGCAGAGGAAGCACGCGGCCACACCTGCCTGCGGACGCTGTGGACGCTGCGGAGCTCCGGGAGCTTGAGAGGAGCCTGCGGCCGATGATGCCGATGATGGCATCCCCGCGTCATTTGGAGACTTTGTAATTGCCGCTCTCCGTGCGCGGCGCTTGGCGCTTCACGCGCAAGGTGGCAGGACTGACTGACGCGGCGACCGCGGCGCGCATCAGACAAAGAAACAAAAACAAAAAAAAACATAATTAGGAAGCGCCCTGTTATAGCACCCTGCTGTGGTGCCAACCTGCTGAAAAATAACAGTGGTGAAATACGATAACAATCGTAAAGAAGCCGAGTTAAGTCTTTTCTGGCAAGCTGCCGCTCGGGGGCGAAATAATTACTCGGATAGAGCGGTGCGCGTGCGAACGCCGGGAACGCCGCCGCGCTCATGCACTTGACGAACGGGAACCGAGCAGCGTTTGCCGGCCCGGCCCGGGGCGCGCTGCTCCCGCATGGCCGGGGGCCGGGCCGAGCAGGGCCCCGCGTGTAACTGGATAGTCCTGTGCGAGGCTAGGTAACGATGGCGAGCCGGGCCACCACAACAACATGCAGTACACACAAGCCATCGCCAAAGACAGCCCTGGGGATCGGGAAGAACAAGGTTGCAAAAAGAGCGGGCACTGTTCTGCTCGACTACAGTGGCGGCGATGGTCTTAATGAAGGCGTTGATGCTTGCACCTTGCTGGGGCTTTGACCGTCCGCCGGGGGCTGGCGGCCGGCCAGCAGGGAGCCTTGGGGGGGCCGGGCCGAGCGGTGCCGGCACTGCCGTTGTGCACAACGTGTCCGCGAGGTTGTTACATCTGGCGACAAACTGGCGGAAGGTTGCCGCGCGTTGAGCCTGGGCAGCCTCGTCGAAGGCGAAGCGCATACAGATGGCTTTTGGCAGTGGCGCGGATTGACTGGACTTCCTTCCGGCTGCAATTACCAATGCATCCCCGAACGCGAGGCCGGCGGGCAATGAAGCCAGCGGCCGTGCCAGACCCTCCGCGACAAGCGGCTGCGATCGCGAATTAAAAACATATTTCTGGATTAGTGGCGATTCCGGTGTGCTGGTTGGTTGTAATTCGCCTGTCAGCCTGCGGGACGACGCGACAAGACGGCACGCCTTCTGTCTTACCGCCTCGCCGTGTCCTTGGCATCCTCGTTCTGCTCCAGACAGCCGGAGTGGAGTGGAGTGGAGTGGCGGAGTGCCGGCGGCCGGCTCCTCGTTGGTCGTTCCGTTTCCGCGGAAATCGCTGGATCACTCACGCCGGGCTTTTCGCAACGACGCCGTGGGTATCGCGGGGCGGGGGGGCAGGCGGTGCTTCGGGGAACGGCGAGGTTCGGTTCGGCGGTACGCACAAGGAGCGTGTTCTTATCGACACGCTGCTGCCCGGTTGGCGCCGAGGCGGGTCCGGGCGGGGCACGCCGCCACCGCCGGCCGGCTATCTGCCTCCAGCCGTCGCCCTGTCTCTCTCGCACCCTCACGGGACGCCCCACGAGTGCGACAGAGACGGAACCAAGCGGCAGGACGCCACAATTTTCTCCCGTGACCAGCAGCCCCGGCGCCGGCCGCGTCATTTTCCAGGCGAGTCACGGCGGGAAATCGCCGCATTTCCACCATTTCCCCGCGAAGGGCCGCCGGGCAAAAGCGTTGCGACCATTAAAGGTGTAGTGCAGGGCGACAGTGGCGCGTGAGGCAACATTCTTACGAGCAATTAGCGCGGCACGGCGGCATCGCGGCATCGCTCTCACCTCCGACGCCCACACTGTACGCGCCGGGCCGTCAGCACCGGCACAAGGCCCGGCCGAAGGGACGCAGGGACGAAACTCGAGTAAAAAGGAAGGAACGGCCGCCGCGCCGCCGGGCCAAGGACTGGAAAGCACGCTTTTGATCGCCACTTAAGCGGCGCTTTCGAGTCCGTCATCGCCGCCATGGCGCCTGCAGCCGGAAGCGGGGTGCTGCGACGGCCTTCCTGGCTGAGGGCACGCACGGAGGGGGAAGTTCAGGAAAGCCCAGAACGTGAACGCAGATGATGCGTTTCATTAAAGTGTCCACTACGATAATTTTGAACTAAAAACAAAATAAACTCTCTGTGGGCCGTTCTTGTCGGTCTGCGGGACATCACAAAAATACCCAGAGCTGTTTTCTTTGGCGTGTTTTTTCTGTAATCTGGCTAACACATTGGTTTGCCGCCTCATTGTTTCCGCGGAAGACGCGTCGCGGCGACCGGAGTGACGACGTGGATGTAATTGCCGCCGACGCCATCCTGGAATGCGGGCCGTGACGCGGCCAGCCGCCACGCCGACGGGCCGCCGCGCGGGAAACTTTGACGACCTTTGAACCGCAATGTGAATCCGATTCCGCGCGGCCGGCGACAACAAGTGCGTGCGACTTAAGCCGACGGCGAAGCCGCCGCGGGAAACTGTGGCGACCTTTGGACCGCAATGTGAATCCGATTCCGCCTGATCCGTAGGGCCCAGGGCCGCCCGGGCGGGGGCCGGCGACACAAAGAGGAAAAGTCGGGGCCGTTCCCCGAAGTGAGACGTGTTTCTCGGCTCGGCGTACTCGGAGCACCCGGCGTGCCGATGGGGTTGGCGATGCGGCCGCGCGCTGACCCGGCGGCCTGGTCGGAGTGGACGGCCACCTATCTGATGGGCAGCCCGCGGATCGGCAGTGCGGTGTGGCGGCACGTTCGCGGCCACGCCGGGGCAGGCCCAGGGCAGGCCCTCGCGTGCCGCAGTGCCGCGGGACTCATCGGGAAAGCCTCTTGGTCTTCCAGTGTCTTAACCGGGGAACGACTTTCCGACGGCGGCACAGGCCACAGTCGACACAGAGTGTGCTCAGCGTAGAGGTCAATGTGCCTGCTCCGGGGTCCATCTGTCGCGGGTTCAACGCCCGCGGTCCGCCAAATTCTTATTTCACCAATCATTGCCGCTTGTTAGACAAGGTTCAAGAGCGGTCCTAAGCCAGCTTCCCGCCGTGCCCACGAAGGGGCGGTGGTCCTGGGAGCGGGCCGCAGATCGGCGTACAGATACAAGTTGACAAATCGGACCAGTTCGAACCTCGCTGGTCCGCACAGCCTGGCACAGCGCTCCGCGTTCGCGAACTCGGACTCGGGCGGCCCGAGCATTGGCTGGCCGCCCCTCCTCGGTAACGGAACGCCTTCTGCGCGTAATTATTCGACAAACTCGTAGCTCTGTCTCTCTCGCGCCCGTTGGGAGTTCCCTGTGGGAGCGAGAGAGACGGACCGACCAAGCACTGGGCGTTTCGTTCGATCCCTCTCGGATTTATTGCGACGGAGGGTCCGGCTAGAACAAAGCGGACTGGGCAGCTCCAAGCGCGGCGTGGTTCCCTGCCGTGGGCTGGCCGAGGCAGGCCGAGGCAGGGCCTCCATCTCCATATGACGTCACGGGATGATGTATCCGTCCAGTGGGGCCGGCCCGCCACCCCACGCATGTACCGCGGCACCACGACCGCGCCTAGAGAGACAGGCGAGACGAGGCGGCGGCGTGGCGGAGTGGACAGCGGGCTGGCCTCTCGGACGTCGTGGACGTCGTGGACATCATCCGCGGCCCTTCTGTTGGCGGGGCGGCCAAGAGGGCCACAATACAATGACGCCGTGCCAGGGCGCCTCGCGCTTTCCACCGAATGCCAGCGTGCGTGCGTGTGTGTGCGTGCGTGTGTGTGTGTGTGTCGGTGTGTGCAGCGGGCCATCGCGTGCCTGTGTGCGTGTGAAGGCATTCGCCACCTGCGATGCGTTTTGGGCGGTCTTCTCACGCAGACACGCTCTCCGGCACGGCATTTCGATGTCGGAATTTTTAAACGCCGAAACTGTTGTTGGTGTCTTGTTTCCCTTCAATTTTTGCCGTGCGCCATGTAGCGACTCCCGGCCCGGCCGGCCCGGCCCGACGATTTTGTCAATCACTGGCGCGGCGCGCAGTCGCCATCGGCCGCGGCGGTTTTATGCGCCGTTTAGCAATGAGAGGCGGAGAGGCTGGGAGGAAGTCAAAGTCGTACGCTTTTCGTGGACGCTTCGTGGACGCGTCAATTGGCACCAGCTCGACAGCTCCATTCGAGGCGTCAGCCCGCGCCTCCAGCAGGCAGCCGTCTCCCTCTCGCACTCCAGCCGGCGTCCAGCGGGGGCGCGAGAGAGACAGAGCGACGAAAGCGCCGCGCTGCCCGAAATCAGTCCACGGCTCTGCACCGGCCAAACCAGGCGGCCGACTGCTCGTTTGTTATTCGGCGTGTTACCACCGCCTTGCAGTGCCTTGCAGTGGCGTGCCTCGCTGCGCCGCGCCGCCTCGCCGGAAAAGGAAACGTGCAATATCGGGCCGGTTTGGTTGGAGCGCCGCCCCCCTGCCCGGAGACGGCCGCCCGGAGCGTCGCGCGGCCACCTGTCCGCGAGGGGGCCGCCGGGGGGCTAGCCGTAAGCCGCGAGCCCCGCCACGGTGCAGTCCCACGCCGTGTCGCACCGCCGCCGCCCCGTACCGGAGCAGCAGAGAGAAGCCGGCCGGATTTATGGCCAGTGTACCTGCCGCCCGGTACCTCCCCTCCCGTTCGTTCGCGAGCGCTTTTTAAAATTTTCCCGCTCACGTCCCGGGCGTCGCGAAGTCGCAACAGGGCTGCCAACCTTATTCGTACGAGAGTCGTGTCTTGTCGTGGGATGTGTCGCTGAAGTCTCACGGAGCGCCCCGCCCCCTTCCCAAAGGCCCGCAGGCCTCTTACACACACACTCGCCCACACTCACACTCCTCTAACTAATCCATTTTCCGTTCTGCGGGGCGCATGGCGCCGTGTCATTGCAACTTGATTATAATGTGTCCCATTTTCCTGACGAACAAGGTCAAGTTCTCGCGCACACACACACACATACCAATGCCAGCGCGTTGGGCTGATTATTCCCCGTCACGGTGGCGGGCCTGCTGCCGGCCCCGCTACCCCGCCAGCCCCACAAGGCCGTGATGGTCGAGGAAGGGCCCGCCGGGCCCGGGGCTCGGCCTTATTAGGGCCTGGCACTCAGCAACAAGAAGTACGAGTAGTACCCGCGGAATGTCTAGTGGACGCGGCGGCCGGCGAGGCAGCCAAGCCACACGGCTCATTTCGTTACCACAACCATTTTTTGCCCCGGACACATGTGATTCGAACGTCGCAATAACAGCGCGCTCTTTTTTCTCTGCTCGTCCCGTGCCCCGATCAGCCCGCGGAGCGCCGCGGTGTGTGTGTAGAGCGAGGAATTCCCTGTTTCGGGCGCGACTGGCGTCGGAACGTCGGAACGTCGGCATCCTGGAGGCCTGGCGGCGTGGAGGCGGCGCCCGCGGCGGGAAAAGTCCGGCAAGTGTTGCCGCGGTCTCGGGCGGGGCTCCGGGTCTCGGTGCGCGCGGCGCTGTAAAAGAGGGCGCGGCCGGCTGCCGCCAAACGGCCGGCCGAGGGCCGCAGGGCACACCGGCAAGGGCTGCGCGGGGCCGCACAGACCACACCAGGACCACACCCCGCGTAAGCACGCGTAACTAGCATTCGGCAGGCCCTCGTTTAAGGCTTCACTGCGGCGCGGCACGTCACCGCCGCGGACGTACTTTACCGAAATGAGTCCCCGAGGCAGCTTGAACGCAGCCAAACCTTAATTAGAGAGAGGGGGGGAGGCCGCGGCGGCGCAGTCGAGGAGGCGATGCGCCTCGTTGTTATGCACGCGCCTTGATTGTTTCCGACTGGAACGGAACTCGCCCGCGACGCCGTGAGCCGCATGCAGTGCAGGAGTGCAGGCAAGGCAGTCCGTGCAGCGCGTGCAGCGGGCAGGCCCGGCGCAGGCCGAACGGGACTGGGGCTGGCCGGGGCGGGGCCCATTTGCATTCTCGTGACTTCTTTTGTCCCTGCGATTAAAATCAATGCAGCTGGCCGTAGTTCGTTGCACGGATTTTCTTTTAATGCTTATGGTTCGTCGGTTCGAGCTTCGAGCAGAGCGGTGCGAGGCGGCGGGGCAAAACGACGAGGTGACCCGACCGGCAAAACCACGCCAAGAGCGCGCACCGCGTGGCCGACTGGCCGAGTCCCACAGTGGCGTGGCGACGGGCGGCCTGGCGCCATGGTCGCTGCAACGACGGCCACCTCGTCGCCACCGCGGCGGCGGCCAACCCACCCCACCGCATGGAGGGGCGGGGCGGCGTGGCGCTGACATTATCATATGTCTCGTCAAACACGAGGCATTTCGAGTGGCGCCCCTCCAACGATAATCACCCGGCGGGGCGAAACGCGAAATGCGGTGTGCCAACATTCGGGCCGGCGGCATTAGACGACCTGTCTGCATGGGACCGATCTAACGTGCGCTGACATTTCCGATATTTAGCCAGGCCGGGCAAAAGAGGGTCGGGCAAACTAGGAGCACCGGCTGCCGTCTCCTTACCCAATCATTAACAAACAACGACCGGTATGATCGACGCACGCACACTGCAGTGGCGCGCCGGCTGCACGCTGGCTGCCCGCCGGCTGCACGCACGCCGCGGCCGCAGCATCCCACCGGCCATTGTGCGCGGTGGGCACGCGGGCCGTGCGGCGTGCACTGCCTGCGCCGTGCGCCGCCTCGCAGTAAATCTAAATACGTGCGGCGCGGCGAGTGCAAGATCACACGGACGGTACGGACGGTCACGCCCGCGGCACCGCCAAGCCTGCCGCCGGCACGACGCAGGAAGCCGGGACGGCCGGGACTCCGCGATGACGCACTGCTCTGCACAGCCAGGGGTGCAAACAGAGAAACACACACACGAAATGAAAATAATACTGGGATTTGAACCTCGGTCTCTCTGGATGTAGCGCTCCCACCGGACACTGTCACTGGCCCACCCTTCCGAACTTGTTGTGTTGACGCCCTGCTTGTCTGTTCCAGACCGCCACCATGCCGGACGTGAACAAGGTCCTGGGGCACCAGGAGCTGAAGCAGCAGAACCTGTACCGCTCCCTGGCGGCGGAGTGCCTGGGCACCCTGCTGCTCAACTTCTTCGGCGTCATGTCCTGCGTCAAGACCAACTCCCTGAAGAACGACCTGGTGGAGGTGTCGCTCACCTTCGGCTTCGTGGTGTTCGCCGTGGTGCAGGTGAGGCGGTTTTCAACTGCCAGGTGTTTCGCAGGGTGTTCGTGCTGGGTTCAGGGTATCGGGTCGGTCCGTCTTGGAGAAGGTATACACGGGCCAGCAGATGAAGGAGGATAGAAGGAGCCCAAAATGGGCATGAGTGTCATCGGTAGTCGTTAGCTCGCATTCACGGGACGGAGATAGAATCTATCGCCTCATTGTGTGGCGTGGTGCTCCGTGTGCCGAGAGGGAGAGAGATGGATAGAGATAGAGCTCCAAGTCACGCCTCAGCAAACAAAACGATTTATTCGTTAATATCTTTTGCCACACCACTGCATCATCACGAGGCACTGGTTGCTCTTGCGTGCCCTCGTCCAACACAAGACAGACGGCGTGCTCAAGCGCACTGCATGTACCGCATGCATGTCCGAGTGAGTCCTCGCAGAGCTGCGGGATTACGGGGCTCAAGTAGTCGCGAACCGCGCGGTACAGCAGCGCATGTCTTGGGTCAGCGCTTGCCGGACAGCGACAGGCCGACCCTTCCCCACGCTTCAAGTGCCTGGCAGATCAAAGTCGCCCCGAATCCGTCCCGAAGGCCCCGCAGGCACGGCAGGCCCCGCAGGCCCTGACGGCGGGAAGGCCGGCGTTGCAAAGCCTCTGCCAGTGGCCCTGCCGTCGGGCCGTGAGGTGCCGTGCCGTCGTCGTGGTGGTCCCACGGCGCCGGGGTCGCGGACGACGCTGTCGCAAGCCGATGTAAACAACGGGGCCGATGGGGTGCCCGTCAGCCCGCGGCCGGGGTCCCCGGGTCCCCGTGGGTGCCCCTCGCGGCCAAGCGGGGCAGTGGGGCAGCGAGGCTGTCACCGCGGCGCCACGAAAATAGACGAGACGAGACGTCGCGGACCTTTATTCCCGCGCCGTGCAGCCCGGCCAGCCCGCAGCAACAACAACAACACCCACGCCGGCAACAACAACACCTCCGCCGGGGCGGCCGGGGCACTATAATGCGCGCACGGGCCGCCATCGGATATTCATAGGACGAGGCATGGGTGCCGCGCTGGGCGCTGGGCGCCGCGCCGCTCGCCGCGCCGGGCCGTGGGCGCCGTGCCGTTGTGTGGCGGTGGCGAAAATGTGGGTCGGGCTCGTTTCTGAGTGGGGACTGAGGATCGGGGGAATTTATGACAGCTTATTGTAGGCTTTCTTTATCCGAGGCGGTTTGGGATTGGCCCGTTGCTCTCCGCCGCGGGGTCCGCCCGGTCCACCTTGTCCGCCAAGCAAGCACCAAGCCAAGCGCCGCGGCGGCGACCTCAAAGAGGAAGGGACCGGACAGGAAGAGGAGCAGGGTGGAGAGGCGGAGGCTGGGCGCTAACTAGGCCCTGGCCTCTGCACGCGTGACGTGTGCCACACAAAGGATGCAACCTACACTCGAAATAATGTCGCTCTCTTCTGCTTCCAGGTGTTCGGCCACGTGTCGGGGGCGCACGTCAACCCCGCGGTGACGGCCGGCATGCTGGTGACGGGCAGGACCCCCGTCATCCGGGGCTTCCTGTACGTCGTGGCGCAGTGCGTCGGCGCCATCATCGGCACCGGCCTCGTCAAGGTGGGCGTGGGCTGGGTTTCAAATCCACCTCGGGTGCGATTATTTTTGTGCGTTTTCTGGTTTCATTTTGACACGTTTTTCGAGCAGGCGGTGACCCCCGAGGCCTTCGCTGACGTGCTGGGCAACACCAAGCTGACGGCCAAGGGCCTGACGGCGGCGCAGGGCTTCGGCGTCGAGTTCCTGCTGGGCTTCGTCCTGGTGCTGGTGGTGTTCGCCGTGTGCGACCCCAACCGCCCCGAGTGCAAGTACGCCGCCCCGCTCGCCATCGGCCTCACCGTGGCCCTGGGCCACCTGGCGACGGTGAGTATCGCCGCGGCTGCCGCGCGGGGTATCTGCAGGGTGCCGCTCCACAGCGCGGAGTAGCGCCGGCGGCACGCGCCGCAACGCGCCGCTGTGTGTTGGTTTGCCTACCCGCCGATGCGCAGGCGCTCGGGCTGACTCGCGTTTCCTGCCGCAGATCGACTACACCGGATCCTCCATGAACCCGGCCCGCTCGCTCGGATCGGCGGTCCTCACGGGAGACTACGAACACCACTGGGTGAGTGTCCTGCCTCGCCTGGCCTGCCACAGTCTCTGTCGGCGAGTCTCTACGAGTGTGGTGCTTGCAGGTGTACTGGATGGGGCCCTGCGCCGGCGCCATGGCGGCAGGACTGCTCTACACGTTCGTGTTCGCGGCGCCCGTGCCCTCGCAGACGCAGACCACCTACACCGTCGTCAGCACCAGCGACAAGGAGGTGAGGCTCGGACATTCCTACGCCCACACAGACGAAACGAAAGGAAAGACCCGTCGAGTATTCGAACCGGCGGCATCCCTCGGCCCGCCCGATTGCGAAGATACCCCGCGTTCTAATTGAGACGAATGTCGGGCCAAATGAAAAGAAGGGCTTAATTACCGCCTCGCCCAGTGCCCCGCCCGCAGTGGCGTGGGTGGTCCACCGTGTCATACTGTGACCTACTCCCCTCCCACCGCGAGATTGGCCCGTAATGAGCGCTGCCCTTCGCCCTTTCTGATTGGACAATGGAGAAAGGGAGCGAGAGGGCCTCGCGTCTCTCTCGCGGCGGCGTTACAATTACCCCGCCGCGACCTCCCCGGACAAGTCCCCGGACCTCCCGCACCACGAATCCCAAACTAAAGCCGCCTGTCGTTCCGTTCCGCTCCGTCCAGGTGAAGCTGCACATGAAGCGCCTGGAGGACGAGCCCTGAAGACGGCGCGCCCAGCTGTGCTGCAAGGCCTCGCCCTTCTTCGAGTGGACGCCGTCCCGCCTGTCCACCCTGCCGCCTCCCGCCGCCTGCTTGGAAGCGACACTGCAAAACGGCACCACTCTTCTTGTATTTAAAAAAAAAATCAAAATGGTGGTGACGAACGATGCACAGTTTGTCCATGACTCACTTGTACCGTCGTGGCGTCCTGCCTGAGCGTACAATACTTGTTTGCCGGCCAAGAAAGCGTACCTTTTATACTACATCAGAGTGCATTTTTTTGTTTGTTTTGTTTCTGTAGTAGACCTTTTTTACGCGACAAGTGCTTTCGATTTTGTTCTCTTCACCTGTTGCTTCCCATAGCAAGGGCCTTTAGAAGGCTGCCAAGATCACTGCACCAAAGAACATGTCAATTATACTGAGTCAGTAACTTTCTGGCTTGATCTTTTTGAGTGAAAATGAACAAGCCAGCATTTCCTGGGCACCATTGTACACTAAACAGGACATTCCTTTGCGCAAACTACCATAATTACAAAAGTTTCAATCTGGATCAGCGCTGTTGCTCTTGAACGTCTACCTTCTAGGTATTAGGTTTAAACTTAAGACAATTATATTTCTTTTGTTTGTATGTGTGTTTGTGAGTGTGATGTGCTTTATATTTATATTCATAGTGTGTATTTTGCAGTCTCAGAATGCTTGAACAACTAGTTAATCTCTGAAAAAAAAAATGTGTTCATTGTAGTGTAGTACAAAAGCGAAAAGAATTTCAAGACAATAGACCAGCACAGGCCTGTGCAGGCGATGACCCGAAATTTAATCCTTGCCGACACATCTTCTTCACTAGCTTCGTTTGCCCGGGCAGCCACTCCACTGTGTGGCGCGTCACGGAGAGTTGCTTCTTGCGGGCTTCGTCGTGCATCATGTGATATCTTTCTCTATTAATTTATTTCCATCCGCCCCTGACATTTATTATGTTTCAAAGTGTTTATTGTCAGTAAAATAATGCATGCTGCCTCATTCTCTAATAAACAGTGTTCTTTACATAAAGCGCGTTTACTCATTGGCCTTTTATTGGAAGAAGTGGGTGAATGCGGCTGGCAGAAGCGACGCTTTGGACCCGAAGGGTAACAGGGCAGCATCTCTGCTCAATGTGACAGGAGGGAGGCACTGTGGCAGCGTACAGTCGTACAGTGTATACCGCAGCAGAACATTGAAATACAGCAGCACCCCCGCGCAGACTTTATCAGCCTGGCCGGGCCGCTGCGGTAACGCCCCTAGGGTGGGGGTCGAGGGCGGGGCGGGGCGGGCGGGGCGGGCGGGGGCGGCGGGCGCGGGGGCGGCGGGCCGGGCGCATGGACGTGGCGGAGGGGGCAGCGCAGCTAAAAGGCGGCTCCAAGGTCGCAGATGTCCAGTCCGGCCGAGACACACCGCGCAGCACCGCGCAGCACCGCGCCGCCACGCCATGGCCCTCCACGCCTACGCCATCGTGATGCTCCTGGCGGTGGCCCTCGTGGGTAAGTAGGAGGCGCGGTCCAAAGCGAAAACGCGACGCGGCGAGACGTCGTGCCGATGCGCTGTGCGGCCGGTTGGCGGTTCGAGCGACACCGATAGAGAGGCCCGACTAAACCAAGACCTCGCCCCCTTCGCCGGCACTGCTTGCACTGCTTGCAGGCCCCGCGACCACCCTGACCTCCCCGCCGGCAGACTCACTTCCCGAGCACTTCTCGAACGACAGCCGCGGTTTGCCGGCGCCTCCGTTTTTTCGTTCGGCTCCAACTTTTTAGCGGGCGGTCCGCGTCGTGGGCGTTGCGTCACGGTATTGAAAGGGGCGAGGCGGCAGGGCGGCGCGGCGGGACGCAGCGGGACGCGTAACGCAGGGCGGTGGCGACACGAGGCGCTAAGGTCACGGGTTCAAATCCCGCACACCGAGTGAGTTTCCTTCTGTTAACACGACAGAACCCGGTTAAATAGAAGAGAGAGACGAAATCAGAGCATCACAAGGTGCTGGGGACCGCCGCAACGCCGTGATAGGCCCTTTTTTTGTGGGCGTTGGCCGTTTCCGGCGGCGTTTCCTCGTTTCTTGCCCTGCCTGCAAATGAAATTAAACGCCTGGCTCGGCCGCACTCGGCCGCACTCGGCCAGGCTCGCCCTTTCTTCCGCGTGTGATAGCAACAAGGTGTGCTCAGACTGCATGACCAGCACCAGCACCAGCCGCGGCGGCGCGCCGCTGGTCTGACGCTTTGGGTTCCGGAGTGGTAAAAGGGGATACAGCCGAGTGCGAACGGGAGAAAGGAAGGCCTGCGGAGGGGGAGGGGAGGGGGAGTGGAGTTTGGAAACGAGTCGTGGCGTGCGGAGCAATGCGAAGCGGCGAAGCGGCGAAGGGAGCAACGCGGAAGCGGAGCAGGGCCGGCGGGGCGGGGCGGGGCGGGGCAGCAGAACCACACGGATTTGATGCTCCCACTGGGATTCATGAACTGTACTCCTCGTCGGCCGCGGTACGGGACGGCGACGACGGATGCGACGGCGACCGGCATCGTGGTGGCGCACTGCTTGGCAGTCCCGGGGCGCGACGACGCGACGGGTCCCGTTGTCGCACCTCTTGGGGCCTGATTACGATTCCCGGCGTACCGCACCGCACCGCGTCGCGCCGCGCATGCCACTTCCACTCTCAAAGCGCTTTGCCCGCCCCGCCGCGGCGGCGACCTCAACGCGCGGCCGGCCTGGAGCGCAGCGCTGTTTTCGAACGTTTCGTCTCTATGTCTCTGTCGCCTGCTGCACGCAGGGTAGGGCTGCGAGAGAGGCAGACCGACGGGACGGCTGTTCGGAATCGCTCGGCAGACGGCAGGTCGCGGGTGAACGTTCCCGCCGAGTGCGGCGCGAGCACGGCGTGCCGCTCCGGCGGACGCGGAAGGAACGGCGTACCATGGGTACCCTGACCCTGGGGCACTCCACCGGCACCGCGCCGCCCCCGCACCTCGCGCCGGCCAGCCGAGCCAGCACCAAGGCAGGCGGCGCAGGCGGCCGGTGGGGAGAAAGGCCGTGTTTCTTATCGCACTGCACTCGCGCTGTGCTTTGCTTGAGTTCCATTGAGTTCCTTGAATTTCCCTGAGTTTGGATCACAGTTGTCGATTTCTGGTGCCGGTGTCTGCTGGAAATGAAACATGTTTTGGTGTCCGCAGGCGCCGCCGTGCCGCAGGCCCCTCGCCGCCAGCGGCCCACCCCCGTGGCCCCCAAGGCCACCACGGCGGCCCCCGCGGCCGAGGACGCCGACCTGACGGACGAGTGCCCCGAGCCCAACGGCTACTTCGCAGACGCGTACCAGTGTGACAAGTACTACGACTGCAAGGACGGCAAGATCACGGAGAAGCTCTGCCCGGACGGCATGGTGTTCAACGACTTCAGCCCCGAGCACGAGAAGTGCGACCTGCCCTTCAACATCGACTGCTCCAAGCGACCGGAGAGGCGTACGTATTGTCGAATCAACTGTTGGCCAGTGGCCCCTCCATCTGGCGAGCGATCTTGCCTGGGCAGCCGGTCGGCGCGGCTAGTCCGCTGCGGCGCTGCGCCCGGCGGGTAGGCAGCCCAACCTACCCGACGCCGCGCTGCGAGGCCCCGCGTCTGAGGTTCTAAGCGAGACTGCTGTTGCAGAGCCCCCGAAGCCCGCCCTGCACTGCGTGCGCCAGAACGGCTACTTCGCCCACGAGGAGGCCAACGTGTGCGACAAGTTCTACTTCTGCGTGGACGGCAAGTTCAACATGATCACCTGCCCCAGCGGCCTGGTGTACAGCGAGGCGACGGGCACGTGCACCTGGCCGGACGAGGCCAAGAAGAAGGGCTGCTCCTCGCAAGGTAAGCCACGCCGTCAAAGCAAATGCAAATTGAAAGCGCACAACACTGTTCTAACCGAAGGCTTGCCCGCGACGCCGCAGAGGTGCTCAAATTCTCGTGCCCCAACGTGACCGAGGCGGAGGGCGTGACGCACCCGCGCTACGCCGACCCCGAGGACTGCCAGTACTTCTACGTGTGCGTCAACGGCGTCACCCCGCGCCGCTCGGGCTGCAAGCGCGGCCAGGTGTTCAGCGAGGCCACCAGGACCTGCGACTGGCCGCGGAAGGTGCCGGAGTGGTAAGAACAGACGGACGGATCGCAGTGTAGCGCGTGAAGGAGCGGCCGTACTAACCCTCGCCCCTGTCCGCCCGCAGCAAGGACTGGTACAAGGGCATCCTCACCGACCAGGAGCTGGAGGAGCTGGAGAACCCCAAGCCCAAGGTGCGCGACCCCGCGGCCACGGCGGCCCGACGCGGCACCAAGGGCAGCCGGCCCAAGCCCAAGACCGGCGGCAGGCCGAGGGACGAGCCCAAGGAGGAGGAGGCCGAGCCGGCCGAGCAGTGAGGGTGGTGGCGTCACAGCGTCACAGCGTCACCGCGCGGCCCACATTCGACTGAACCGACTGTTTCGCGATCTGGGCCGTAGCTACGCCTACGGCCGGCAGCGGCCGCGGTTCGAATCCAGGTCGGCTGTAAAATGCGGAGTGAAGCCTACTGCCTACTGCCGCCGGCCCCGAGGCCGAGAACAATGGCAAGTGAAAACAGGAGTAGTGTTTCGTGCAGATTCTGCAATTATTGTTTTCTAGTCTAATTGGTTGCACGCGACGAATGCGACAGAGAAAGGGGGGGAGGGGAGCGAGATACAGAGAGAGAGAGAGAGAGAGAGAGAGAGAGAGAGAGAGAGAGAGAGAGAGAGAGAGAGAGAGAGGGAGAGAGAGAGAAAGGGGAGGGGGGGAGACAGAGAGAGAAGTGTTGATAACGATGGTGGATACTGGGGACGCGACTATTGCAGGCGGGCCCCGGGGGAGTGGAAGGACTAGCCACCGAGCGAGCCGAAAGGACTTTGCCAAAGGATTTCCCTTTCCACCTACACATGGGCTTCCCTTCAGCAGGTTCCAGCCCAACAACAGACTGCCATCGAAATGAGTTCCTGAAAGAACGGACCTCAGAGTACAATCGTACTCCTCACAACATAATTTGCGACTGAAAACCTTGACAAACTTTTGAAATAAATTATTTTTTGAAGAAACCTGAGCATCATTTTTTTGCCCTTCATGACCAACTTTGTGAGGCCACCGCTCCCAAACTAGTTGCGGTCAATAGCCCTCCCGATAGAGGGCACGAAAGAGTAGGGTCTTAAGAATACTAGGGCGTCGAGGGAAGCCTTTTACGGCAACTAGATTGGACACAGTGGCCGCCCAAAGTCAGCAAAATCAGCAAATTTCCGAGATTCGACCACTTTTTGACCAACTTGGTCGGAAAATCGTTGCGGTCAAAGCCAAAATCGTTGTGGTCAACGTCTTCCCGATACAGGGCATGAAAGAGAAGGGTCTTAAGAATACTATGACGTAGAGGGAGGCCTTTTAAGGCTACTAGATTGGACACAGTGGCTACCCAAAGTCAGCAAAATCAGCAAATTTCCGAGATTCGACCACTTTTTGACCAAATTGGTCGGAAAATCGTTGCGGTCAAAGCCAAAATCGTTGTGGTCAACGTCTTCCCGATACAGGGCATGAAAGAGAAGGGTCTTAAGAATACTATGACGTAGAGGGAGGCCTTTTACGGCTACTAGATTGGACACAGTGGCTACCCAAAGTCATAAAAATCAGCAAATTTCCGAGATTCGACCACTTTTTGACACACTTGGTCGGAAAATCGTTGCTGTCAAAGCCAAAATCCTTGTGGTCAACAAACTGTTTTTGACTTTGGGCTGCTTTGGGTGGGCACGGCGTTGACTTTCGGTCTGGTCTGTCTGACTCAGACCTTGTTTTAACGCATTAAATCGGGCGATAGGTTTGGCCTAACGTTACTTCGTGATAAGACTGTCCAGTTTGAGTGTCCCGGAGGGAAAGCGAACTCCAAAGAACTGCTCTCGCGGGCGCGCGGCCGGGGCGGGGTGCACCTCTGACTGTTCCTTAATTAGTCGCGATTACTGGCAAGAAAGCGGCCTTATACGAGCGAGGGGGAAGGGGGGAGGGGCGGCGGGGGCGTCGGCGGGCTGTCCGCGGCCTGATCGACACATTTTGCCAAGTTTCTCTCCACACGTAATTCGTTCCTTGTGATCGGAGCACCCGCACCACTTCCTCCGGCCAGTGAGAGGGAGAGAGAGAAAGGCGGTGGCCGTCTCCGTCGCCGCGACGGCCAGAGGGCCTTCTCGCGACTAGCCTCGGACTAGGCTTCTGGCGTAGTCTTGACCCACGAGGTCGCCCCCTGGGCGGAGGAGGGGAGGGGGAAAACTTAGTCTATTGCAAACCAACCAGAAGTGATAGCAAGTCGGGGCCGCCTCGGATGCAACCAATAGGATCCAGACAGACCGCCGGCGGGGCGGGGCGGGGTGGGGCCGGCGGGGCGAGGTGGGGTGGGGCGGCGGCTGGGGGGTGTTGTGGGGGAGGGGGCACCGAGCGGGCAGGGCTGCGCCGGGCTGCGCCTTGCTCCGCGCGGCCACACGCTCCATCCAGTCCTCCACCGTCCGGGCCACCATGCAGACGACACTCCAGGTCGTGGTTTCCTTCGCCGTGCTGGCCACCGCCTGTGAGTACATGCTCTACTAGCCAGCCCGGGCGACCTCTGCGGCCCTCGGTCTGCCCTCCCGGGCCTGCGGCCCTGCGCAGGGCTCGCACACTTCCAGCCCACCGTGCGTCCTCCGCCGCAGCCACGCCGTGCTCTCGTTTGGGGCTTGGCTGGCCGTGGGCGCCGATCGCGACTTAGCCGTTGCGTCGGCAGGCCTAGCGCAGCCCTAGTGCAGTCCCAGTGCAGCGGGCGCGGCTATCCCAGGGCACTGCCAGGGCACTGCGTGGCGTGCCGTATGAAGTAACAGAATACGCAACGCAGCCACCATTACGGCGACAAAACCTGTCTCGTGTGTGCGCGCGTGTGTAAGTGTGTGCGTGCGCGCCGCGCGCCCCACCACGCTGTTTGGCGCAGGAAGTATTTTCTGTCGCGCCGACGCGGTTTTACCGAGATCGGGATGATCACGTCGAGCCCTGCCTGATCCAGTCTATCCGAACGTCCGTCTGTCCGTCTGTGCGTGTGGCCCGGAAGACCGTTGCGTCACCCCTTCGCCCAACAGCCCCCCTGTGCCTTCCCCTTCTCGGCCTTCTCGGCCTTGAGCGCGAAGAAAGTACCGGGCCGGCCGGCCGGTCGGACAGGCGGGCAGACAGGCGGGCAGACAGGCGGACACGCGTGGGCCGCGCCATGTAACAGGCGGCCACGGCGCCTGCCGCGCGGGCCGGCCCGCCGAACAGCCACGCCGCGGGGCTGCCTACCTCGAGCCCCTACCATTACCATTAAGGGCTGGACCACACATGATCGCATGCCATTTCGGGGCCGCAGCCTGGCCTCACATTCCGCTGCCTCCTTGTTCGCAGTGGCCGCCTTCAAATGCCCCGACGCCAAGTACGACCTGTACGAGGACCCCGTGCAGTGTGACAAGTACTACGAGTGCTACGAGGGCAAGGCCACGGAGAAGCTGTGCCCCGACGGCCTCGTGTTCGACCCCCTCAACCGCAAGATCATCAACCGCTGCGACCAGCCTTTCAACGTGGACTGCGGAGAGCGCACGGAGCTCCGTAAGTCACTTGGTTTCTCTTTCAAAAAGTGAACAGCCAGCCCGATGCTGTCCGGAGAATGAGGCGAAGTGTGCTGACTGTCTTCCGTCGCAGAGGACGCCAAGCCCACCGCCAACTGCCCGCGCCAAAACGGCTTCTTCCCGCACCCCAACCCGGCCGTGTGCGACGTGTTCTACAACTGCATCGACGGCGAGCCCATCGAGAGCCGCTGCCCGCCCGGCCTGCACTTCGACGAGTTCCAGGGCGTGTGCGTGTGGCCCACCTCGGCGGGCCGGCAGGGCTGCCAGGACGCCAACTCCAGTAGGTGTCCCTGCTCGGGGTGGAGCGTGACTGGCGTGAATGGCGTTTTAAATGCTCCGCTTTTTTCCTCCAGACAAACTCAAGGACGGCTTCCAGTGCCCCACCGAGGTGAAGCCCGACAGCAACGGCCAGGCCCTGGCGCACCCCCAGTACGCCCACCCCACCGACTGCCAGAAGTTCTACATCTGCCTGAACGGCGTGCAGCCGCGCGAGCAGGGCTGCTCCCTGGGCGAGGTCTACAACGAGGAGATCGGCAAGTGCGACGACCCGGACAATGTCCCCGAGTGGTGAGTACACTAAGGCCCGTTGCTTTGCGAGTACACTAGAAACCAGTCCGACCGGTGGCTCGTGCCAATAGCGGTACTGTTTTATTCAAACAAGAGAAGCGGGGACTGTTATTTTGCCGTATGGCCTCGGGCCACCTCGGGCCGCCTCGGCTCGGCCGCCCGGGGCGGGGGTGCAGTGCCGTGCAGTGCCGTGCAGTGTCTCGACGATGTTGTTGTTTGTTTCAGTGCCGACTGGTACAAGGACGACCCCGAGGTGGCCGAGCTCAAGGCGAAGGCGGCCGCCAAGGCAGCCAAGAAGAACAAGAACAACTAAACGTCGAACGTGACCACGCGAGGGCAGCTTTAACCCATGCCTCTGTCTAATCAAAATAACTTAAGTCCCGAAAACCAAAACCAAAAAAATCAGGACAGCTATAATAGTGCATCGAAAGACTCCGCCTAAAAGTAATTAGTCAAAGTTCGGCAGCCGTTCATGAAAACGAAAAACGCGGAACAACTGTTTCGGTTACGTGGTTCGTTAAAAAAAGAGGCCGTTGTCGGCCGCATCTCGCTGCCTGGTCATTTTTGCCGCGATCGCCGAACGAAAATAATGCCTCGGTTGCGCAACGAGGCGGAGTCAGAGCCAGAGCCGGGCGGAGCGCGGAGCGGGAACCGAGGGAGCCGCCCGCTACCCGCTAGCCTCTTAGCCTGTTCCCAAAGGTCACCGGGTGACAATATTGGGCGACGACCAGTTCCAGTGGGTCACAAGTACAACGAGTCAGACTGATAGAAAGATGTTGCCACGTGGAGGGAGGAAGAGAGGGCACCGTTTATTTTGCACATCTTGCATTTTTCATAGTCATCTTGCTAATTGTAAGTGTTTTTTTTTTCTACTATCATGTTTGTAAATACGCGTCACAATAAATGTTTTTTTATTATTATTACGAAACGAGTACGTCGTTCATTGCCACGATCTCTACGCACACCATTGAACGGAAGAACACGGCCACCCCTCGGGAAATGTGTTTCAATTTGTTCTGTTCGACAAGGCGTCGTTTTCCCGAAAAGCCTTCGTCGCGTTTCGTTGGCGACCACAAGGCTGTCGCAACGGCCCTGGCGAGGCCTGTGGTCGCGCAGTGCCGCGGCCCTCAACCTCGTGCCTTTTCTCTTTGCAGCAAGGACTTCTACAAGGACCACCCCCAGTTTAAGGAACTCTACACGGACGAGGACGGCGACGGCAAGAAGGACTTCGGCAAGAAGAGGGTCTTCCACAGCTGAAACACGGACTGACTTGTACCCAGCTCGCCCATAACGTTTAAGGATTTTAATAAATTGACAAAAACAGAAAAGGTTGATGTTGGTTCAGTTTCCTGAGAATCCCATGAAAACGCCTACGCAAGTCGGCAAAAAAGTCACTTTTTGTACGACACATTCTGCTTGTTTGCCGGTCGAAATGATAAGGATTTGGCTTTATCGACGAGGAAATTGCGAGTGCCTCTGGCACCTTCGCCAGTTACGGGCCCATCAGCTCGCTCGCGCTGCTCCGCCACGCACTCACTCACACACTCACAAAGTTGCATTAATGGCCAGATTGGCAAAAGAGTATGAGAAATGGGCGTCCCGTGAAAGGGACCGCGTTCCAGCCGTTCCACTCTGACGTAACAATTTCTCATACGAGTTTAATAAGGAGTGCGATGCCAAGCGCGGTTGGCAGTAGTTTGTCACCCCATTAGGGTGCGTTCGGAACGGTTCGGCACGGCCGGGGCGCTTCGGAACCCCCCGGACGGGTCCGCCGTCCCGTCCCGCCGGCCGGCGGCGGCCTGCCTTGCCTGTGGCCTGCCTTGCCAGCGGGTGCGACAGAGAGGCGACGACGCGGCGAAGGCGTCCTGCTGCAGCGCTGCAGCGGCGCGCGGGGGCAAGAAGGACAAGAAGCGCCTCATCCGAGTAACGGACCCGGCTAGACCGCCTGCGCCGATAAGAGGATGGCTCCGCTGCTCGCAGTCCGGAGCAGAGCGCGCAGGGAGCGGGGCGTGGCGCGGTGCAACCCTTTTTCACTTGACACTGACTGGGCGAAAGCTCGATGGCGCCGTCTAGCTGCGCCGAGCTGCGCGCTGTGCGGGACTTCCCCGTGGAAATGCCTCCGAGAAATTTGAAAGGGAAAAGAAAAAAATTTGAACTCTACACCCCCTCCCCAGTCTTAATGGGGAGGCCTCCTGCTTTACTTCGGTGTTCGGGATGGGAACCGGTGCTATCAGGTACCTGGGGTTAATCCCGTCAGCGACTCTAAGCGTTCGCCGGGGGACCCAGTAGGACCCCAAAGCTCAGGCAGCTGGGTGAGAGCACCCAGTACGAAGCTCTTTGAGGGGCGGGACGTAGAGTGAGACGACAGAGAGACAGAGAGAGACTCAGACAGAGAAGAGGTTTGGTGGGAGCTTTTTGTTTTCGTAGGGTTGGTTGTGTACCCCATGGTACCCCCACTGTCCGGCGCTCCCGTACCGAACATACAGCGTTTTAGGCCAGCTTCAAAGGACTTATCATCGCCTCCCCGACGGATCGAGGAGGCACCACCCGCAACCACACACCGGGTGGTCTGGATTGATGGATCAAATACGCCATCGCTCCAGTGCCGAGGCCAACCCGCCGAAGCGGATTGCTTTTTAGACACCCACAGCGGAGTGGCCAGGTGAATGTGACTCTGACCACTACGCTATCACGCTTGTACGTCTGGCAGCGTGTTGGACGACGGGTTTGAGTTGCACTGGGAGGAAGGCGGTCGAAAAATGTAATGAAATGATGGGATTCGATCCCCGGACCCCACCATCGGGATCACACGACTTTACGCTCTCGGCCACCAGGGCCCATGATGAGGGGACCGGCGTGAGGTGGGTTCTTGACGCAACAGGACTCGACTGACCCGGTCAAAATTTCGCATGAAGTTGGGGGAGTCGAACCGCCGACCCTAGTATTATGAATCGACGCCTCTACTCCCTGGACCACCACGTCCCATGTACGGAGTGGGCTCACGTTCACGGGTTTCAACCGCACTGGGTGAGGCAGTAAAATTAAATGGAAATATTTGTTAGGAGTCGAACCTCCGGCATGTGGGTCTGTTGCACACGGCTCCGCTCGGATGGCCTCGAACCACCACCCTTAGGATAGTAAGTCGAAAAAACGTATGTGACGCAGGTATTCGAACGCCCGCCTGCGGTAACTCGATCCCACGTCTCTAACCTCTCGGCTATCACAGCAGTTGTGAAACGCGACGGATCATCTGCTTTCATTAACGTTCGTTGAATGAGATTTTTTTGTCGTGCACCGCGAACTCTAAGTCCCCCCTCGCCTCGTCCCGCCTGGCGGCGGCCACCGGTTGACAAAGCCCCGGTTGTCATCCGCCCCCGCGGCCCACAGCGAGGCCCACAGCGAGGCCCGCAGCAAGGCCCGGCCGGGCTGCTCGGCGCACAAATTCTGTAAGAAGGAATGTTGAAAGTGCGCGCTACGCGTCATGAAGTAACGGATTTGAAAACGGCTCGGCGCCTCTTTGCGGTGGGGAGGAGGGGACGAACGTGACGAGAGCGACGGCCACCTCCTGTACCCGGGGGCCTGGGGGCCCAGGGGGCCCAGGGGCCCTAGAGGGGGCGGTGGAGGGGGGCGGGGCCGAGGCAGCAGGCAGGCCTGAGGCAGGCTTGGTACACCCGGGCCGGTGAGTACCGTCGTGCCAGTCGTCGTCGGGCACCCCAAGCAGCCGCACCATCGCCATGCAGGTCCTCCTGTGGGTCGCCGCCCTCGCCGCCGCGCCGGCACTGGTGTCCGGTGAGCATCCCGTCGAACAGCCGCGGCTGTGTCAAGATTAAGTTGGGCTTGGATAGGCCTGGTAAATCTGGAGAAGTAGTACCAAGGTGTTAATTGGCTTGTCACAAAACCGTTCAAACTTGAAATCGAAAAAAAAGGCCAATTTAAAAGCCGGTCCGAAATGCGCTGAAATTTGGTGTGTCGGCTGCCCTCCAGTCCAGTCCTGGTGCAACCGGCTGTTTTTGTTGTGAGCCCCGGAAGTCCTTACCGCCCGGACGGCAGCTTTTCGACCAATTGATGCCAACTAAATCGGTGGCTTAGGTAATCGCCCCCTTTCCCGTCGATCGACTCGCGTTGGCTTCGGCTCCACCAACGGCAGCGCGGCGGCGCCAAGTCGAACAACAACATAAAGTTCGCAGGGACTTTATTTTTGTCCGTGTTCTGGACTGATGCGCTGTTGTGACGTTGGCTTCATACGGGAAAATAGAGAGTATTGAATGTCCTGCCAAAATTATTCCAAATTTTTTCGGGTCATATTACTCGTCCAAAAAAGGGGCTTTAAGGGTGCAGAATCTAGAGTTACCTAAAGTCAATGGCAACTTCGGAATGCTTTGAATGGGTACTCGCGACTCACTTTGATAAGGGCGATGCTTACTACTTCACAAGGTAGTAAACACCTGCGGCCATTAAGATGTACCCAGCCAAGCACGAAGCTGTCTGTAGATGTGCGCCTGATGTAAACCCAGCCAGCAATCGTCACAATGAGAGCTTTTCTGCCCGCAGCCGCGCCACAACACCAGGACGCCGCCGCGCCCGCGCCCTCCGCCTACAAGTGCCCCGAGCCCAACGGGGTGTACCCCGACCCCTACCAGTGCGACCTGTACTACAAGTGCACCAAGGGGGTGGCCGAGGAGAAGCTGTGCCCGGACGGCCTGGTGTTCGACGACGAGAAGACGAGCCACGAGCGCTGCGACATCCCCGCCAACGTCGAGTGTGGCGACCGTCGGGAGCTGCGTGAGTATACCGTCTGAAGCCGTCACACAGTGGGCCAGAACACCGGCGAAGGCGGCCTATTCAAGACGCGTTTTGAGCCCCAGAGTCACTAAACAGGACTCGAATCGAACGTGTGACCCCACCAATGGATTGCTCTCCGAACGAGGAATCCATTGGTGGGGTCGGTGGGGTCACACGTTCGGTTCGACTCCCATTTAGCCACAGCTCAAAACGTGTCTAGAATTCTGGCCGCCTCCACCGGTCGGGCTCACTGTGCGCCAGTGTAGTACCGCATTGCTGACCACGTTGCCGTCGCCCTTGCAGAGGAGCCCAAGAGCACCAAGGAGTGCCCGAGGGCCAACGGCTACTTCCGGCACGCCGACCCCACGGCCTGCGACAAGTTCGTCAACTGCGTGGAGGGCGTGGCGCACGTGCTGCCCTGCCCGCCGGGCCTCATCTACGACGACGTGCGCGCCACGTGTGCCTGGCCGCACGAGACCAAGCGCGAGTGCGGGGTCGCGAAGCGCGGTGAGTCACCCGCCGGCCTGGTGGCCCCGTCGCCCCGTCTCCGTCGCACGCACGGGGCGGCCCGGCCTGGGCCCGGCAGTCCCGTCGGGTGCGACAGAGACGGAGCGACTTTTCGGAACTACTCGGCTGCCGCGGCCACGGCTGAGCTCAAATTGATCCCGCTTGTTGCGCGCGTTGCAGACGCCCTGGAGGACGGCTTCTCGTGCCCCGAGGGCGAGGTGATGGGCCCCACCGGCAGGCCGCTGCCCCACCCCACCTTCCCGCACGCCGACGACTGCCAGAAGTTCTACATCTGCAGGAACGGCGTGGTGCCCCAGCCCGGCTCCTGCCCCTACGGCGAGGTCTACAACGAGGAGACCTTCAAGTGCGACGAGCCCAGCAACGTCCAGGGATGGTGAGTGCTTCATCACCAGTGCGCGTCGGCCGGTGGCGTGGTTACAGTGTGGTGCAGGAGGCGCGGCTTGCCGTCGGCCTGCCACAGCGCGGGATGCGGGATTCCGACGCTCAAGTCGTGCAGTGGAATTTATAACCTTACATCACCGATGTCTTTTTTTTTTCAGTGAAAAATGGTACGAGAGTGGTAACGCGAAGCCCCCTCCACCCGCCAGCGAGGTGTAGGGCCCGCGAGGCCCGCGGCGGCCCCGCCAGCCCCGCCAGCCCCGCCCGTCCAACGACTGAAGCACACCGCCACCATCCCATGCATCCACGCATCCCCATGACTCATAGTTAAGTCAAGCTGAGGCGTTTTCAAGCATTACTGTGATGTTAACGTATTTCATACTGACAACGTAGAATCTCTAAGCCTGCCTCCACCGGCCCGGTGGATCCACATCGCCGGTGCCTCTAGCTCACCTTAGCTAAGCCAAACATTGTTTTTATATACTTTCAAAATAGTTTAAGAATTAGTAAGGTCCTATGTGTGTAAGTTTTTTTTAACGTTAATAAATTTTATTTCTGTTTAATTCCGTTTTCACTCGCTGCGTGACTCCCCACCCCTGCTAATCCCCGCCGCGAACGCGGAACGACATGCAACACTCTCAATCACGCAATATGTGCGTTTCTCCTGTTTCTCCTCGACTCGGTGCCGCCGCGTCGCGCCGCGGTTGACTGACGTGACCAGAGGAAATCCCGAGAAATCCGACCCAAAGTCGGATCGAAAGAAGCGCCGCTCTTTGGCGTCGGCGCGGTGCTCCAGTTAGTCGAGAATTGAATCCGACGGCCAGGAAGCGAAGGCAGAGAGGGCGGGGCAGAGAGCGTTGCCAACTGCAGAGCCACCGACATCACTCGATGGTGTACAGTGAGTTTACTCAAAGTGTCTAAGTTTCAACCTCAAGCCCCGACCTGACACTGGACAGAAGAAAACTGATCTGCGTCGGTCGGAGAGCTTCTCGGCCAACCGCCTGCTTCTGGACTGGGCCTGGAGTCCAGACTCTGGAGCAGTGCGAAGGGCAGCGGGCGGCCGGGTCCTGGAAGGCCTGGAAGCAGGCCTGGAAGCCTGGAAGGGACATTAACGGCGAACTCTGATCTTTGCGCCGGCCGGCCGGGCTCGGGTCCGGGAGGCTTCCCGGCGGCCGGTCGACGGCAAGACGGGCCGGCGACGCGGACGCTTCGGCACCCCGGCGACCTTGGGCGGCCTCGGGGCCGCGCCGGGCAGCCGCCACGGACCGCCACAGACCGCCACGCCCCGCACACTCCAAGCGCGTGCGGTATGAAAAGTTGCGCGTAACGTTTTGTCGAAAGCGAAGCGCGCCAAGGCGCCAAGCAACGCCTCCTTTAATGGGGTCACCTTTAATTAGCAGTGCAGGAAGCAGCGCTCCCGATCTGCATGTTACACCGCATCCGCGACGCATCCGCGACTACAACGCATCAGTAGTGCGGAGCAGGAACTGAGAAACGCGTGGTGCAGCCTCGAGGCCCGAGGCGCCCCCGGTCGGTCTTTCCACCGCAAGGGAGCGGCGCTGGCGCCGACGGAGCGCCCGTCGAGGCGTCGGTGCAGCCCCGCGGGGCAGGCGAGCGCGGCGGGCTGGCCTACCCTCGACTCCGCAGGCGCTTGCCAGGGGGGCTCTCGGCCCGAACGCGGTCGGCACGCAGCCTCACGACCAGTTGGCATGTCGGGGTGGGCATGGCCAAACAATCCAACTTTCCCTTATCTCAGATTTTGTGCGTCCTTCGTTTGGTAGGAAATGTGGTTTTAAGTGCAAATGCAGCGGGCGAATATTCCCGCCTGATTGTCTGGTGTGATTTCGGCCACCCAGGGGATGCAAAACGAGTTGTACTCTGGACCAAACGCCGAATCAGCCGCTCTACACCGCAAACGCCTCAACCGCAGGGGCGACCACGCCGCGGCTACGCCCATGGACACTGCACAAGGTTCCCCTTCCCGCAGTGCCTGGCCTGGCTGGCCTGGCTGGCCGGCCTGGCAGTGGCGTAGTGATCCATGCGGTCACATGGTGCGCAGGGGCCAGGGTAGGGGGGCAGCCTGGCCAGCCTGGACGTGGGGCGTGGCGGGGCGTAGCGGTGTGTGTGCGGTAGGTGGTGGTTGGGGCTCCCTCAGTCTCCAGCCCGCCGCAGCCGCAGCAGCAACACGATGACAAGAGTATTAGCAGTCCTCGCCCTCGCCCTGCTCGCCGGCCTGGGTAAGTGTGAGTGTGTGCGCGTGTGTGTGAGTGTGTGTGTGCCTGACCGTGCGCCTTTCTGTCCGTGAAAACCCGCGTGGGGTGTTGCGGAGGACAATATGGAGAAGGACTCCAAGGACACACCTGGATGAACTTCCCCGGGGTGGCTGAACGGTGAATCGCGCCGGTAGTGCCTCGTGCGCCTCGTATTTGTGTCAAGAGTGTAGCCAGTGCTCCCAAGAAGGGTCTCGGGAAATGAGGTTGCCTTATGGCGTCCAGGAGGGTGGCTGCAGCGCCAGCAGCGCCGCGGCACTTCCTTCGAGAGGCCTGCACCCAGCACGCTCCAACGCTGCCAACACAACGGGCCGCGCGCCCAGACCGCCACCGCCGCTGTCAAGCAGGCCCAACGGCCCAACCCAATTCATGGCTGCCAACTGCCAACTCAATACGTTGCGCCAGGACTGCCAATGGGCCGCCATTACTCGCAGCGCAACACTGGCACACACCACACACTCACACTCACACCCACTGCGCCGCCCGACAAGGTGACCGCCATGACGTGCTTGTCAGACGCGGGTTCGAGTCCCACCACCGGCCATCGATTTTTCTCGATTCCCATCACGGGATGCAGTGGGTGCATCGGACAGCGTGCGAAAAGGCATTGCATCACCGCGTACTAGGGCGGGGCGGGGCGGGGCGGGGTGCTCGCAACGCCGTCAGGCAGGGTCCGCGCCCCGCCCCGCCCCGCCGCGCCTCGGCAACAAACAGTGTTTTAAGGCATAAGGCCTTGCTGGACCCAGCTTGAGCTCAGTCACTTTCCATTTCACCGCCGTGTGGCCTGGCGTGGCCCGTTGAGCGCCAAGGTCTCGAGGGGCGGGGCGGGGTGGGGCGGGGCGGGGCTGACATGCCCTGTCGTGACGCGCGCTGGCTCCCGCGGCTCAGCCGGGCCGCCGGCCGAATCCAAGCTCCGTCCGGGCAGCCAGCCTCCAGCCAGCGCCGTGCCCCATCTCTTGCCCGCCCCGCCCCTTGACTCGACACGCCGAGCACTCCATAGGGAAGACGTAAAGCGAGCGTTGTTCTCCGTTACGTCATTTCGGCGTGCATGTTTGAATGCCCCGCGCCGTGCATGCAACTTGGAACGCCGCATCGGTCGGTCGGAACGCCGTTGCAAAAGTGGGTCGAAGTTCGGCTCGCCTCGCGCGCTCGTTGTGCGTCACGGGCTGCGAAACGGAGACGCGGACGCGAATCCGCCAAGCCAATCCGTTTGGCGAGAGCCTGCGCCGACTGAGGCCTTGCGACGCCACTGTGAGTGCGGCTCTGGATCGCCGGACGCCAGGTCCGCGTGGTTCGCGCGCCCCCCTGTACCACGCCGCAGTGGGCCAAAAGGCCGGGGTAGGCGAGAAAAAAACTCTAGACATGTTTTGAGCTCCAGAGGAGCTAAACAGGACTCGAACTGAACGTGTGACCCCACCAATGGATAGCTCTCCGAACGAGCAATCCATTGGTGGGATCACACGATCGATTCGAGTCCGATTTAGCTACTCTGGAGCTCAAAACGCGTTCACAATTTTTGCCACTCCAACAGTCTTCTGGCCCACTCTGTGCACGCCTCTCCGCGCCGCTCCGTGCCACTCCGTGCGGCCGAGGCGCGTTGTGCGTTTCCTCCAGGCCGGCAGGTGCGGCAGGTGTTTCCGATGGATTGAGAGGAATGCACAGCCACGCCGCGGGCCCCGCGCACCGCGGCTCAGTGCGGTTAACGACAAGATCAAACGCGAGCAGTTGGGCATTTCGGCCCACCGGCCCCACCGGCCCGGTGTTGCAGAGAGCCAGAGCGACCGATTCCTGTTTTATCCATCCGCTCCGCGAGGTACAGCGTGTGTGCTTGGTCGTCGTGGCCCGGACGCCGCGTCGAGCACCGCGTCGAGGCCCACCGAACGCCGTGCAGAGGGTTCAAAGTTCAAGGCTGGGGCAGGGAGAAAACGTTTGGCGGTCGAAGCTACTAGACATCGTGGACATTCATCGTGACGGTGGCAGTGAACCCCATGTCCTCCTTTTTCCAGCCAACGGCCAGGGCTGCCCCGAGCACGGCGTCGTGGCCTACCCCCACCCCGAGCTGTGCGACCACTTCTACCTGTGCACCAACGGCACGCTGACCGAGGAGGTCTGCGAAAACGGCCTGCTCTTCGACGGCAAGGGCGCCGTGCACAACCACTGCAACTACCACTGGGCCGTGGACTGCGGCGTGCGCAAGTACCAGCGTGAGTAGTGCGAGCGCGGCAGCGCAGCCAGGACGACGTGAAATGAGCGAGTGCGTTTTTTTTTTAAAACCCCGACCGGTTTGACAGTGGTGCCGCTGTCCACCCCCGGCTGCGAGTTCCAGTTCGGCATCTACGCCGAGGCGCCCTGCTCCCCACAGTACTACAAGTGCGCCTTCGGCGTGGTGCACCCCGAGCCGTGCGAGGCCGGCCTGGCCTACGACGAGCGCACCCACTCCTGCAACTGGCCCGACCTCATGCTGGAGCAGGGCTGCAACCCCGAGCGTGAGTACCGCTCCGCCGGCACGGCAGAGGCTCTTAGTTTGTGGATCGCCGAGTGTGCCTGCACGAACAGTGCGCTGACTGACCGAGTCCGGGACTTGCAGAGATCGTCGGCTTCAAGTGCCCCGAGAAGGTGACCGGCAAGGCCGCCAAGTTCTACCCCTTCCCGCGCTACGCCATCCCCGGCGACTGCTCCCGCTCCATCACCTGCGTCAACGGCTTCCCCCGGATCACGGCGTGCGGCGAGGACAAGGTGTTCGACGCGGAGAGCCTCACCTGCGACGAGCCCGAGCTGGTGCCCGGCTGGTAAGTGTCTGGCGGCGCACGGCGGCGCGCCCGCGAGTAGGCAGCCAATCATACTCGCGGCGCCCCGGCCAGACCGCTCCTAACCCTCCTCGTCGTCTGTTGCAGCGCCCACCTCAAGAGGAAGTGATTCGAGCCGACGCGACCACCAACGCGAATACCAGTGACTGCATTGACGAAATTGTGACGCCTCGCCTTCCACGACCTCCAAATACCTCACTTTGTTCCCCCCAAGTTACCAGGCAGCAGAACCACGCTCTCATGTACCTGTTGTGATTGTGATTCGCGGTATATATTTTTTGTTTAGGCTTCGATTTTGTACAAATGACCTTTTATGTGATATAAACTTAATAATGATTTTGAGGCTAAATAATAAGACATCGACGGTTTAAAAACAACAGCTACTGCAGTGATTTATTTCCGAAAGACCCGCCACCTCAAGGAGCCATTCATTTCTATTCAACCATTCTAGTGTCATCTACACTCGCCGGGATATTCAGATTCGCGTTCTTAGTATTCTACAATATTCTTATCAGATGATATATTCAGAGAAATTCATAATGTTCACACATTAGTTGGAACGCTGTTAAATATTTATCTGTATGTATTTTGATTATTATTCAATGGCATCGACAGATGGATTCTGTCGATGGCCATGCTAAAGAAAGACGGCATACTGCAAATTTGCAACATTTCGCATGCAGTCGACGATGCCGAGTGGGTGCTTGACGACGGTGTCGAGTGGCAGCACTGAGTGATGCCGTGGATGGCGCACCCGTTCGTCTTCCGGCGCAAACGGATCGCGCCTTTTCGCGGCGGGGAAAGCAACGCGCGACGCGGGAGGCGCTCCATCGGCCCGCGATAAAAACAACGTCAACGCAATCAGCGCCGGGAGGGCAGGGCCCTTCCACCAGAAAAATCACGACCACTCCAATCCCCGTCCGTTTCTTTTTCGCTCCTGTTTTTCACTCTGCCGCGACTTTTTGGCGTCCCGAAGGCGCCGTGCTGAGCTGGGCTGCGCAGGGCCCCGCGGCACTTCCAGTCCGTTGGCAGTCCGGCCCGGTAGCGGTTCGCGTCCACCCAGTCCCGGACCGCCTCGCTGCGCCTCGCCAGCATCACCGCCATCTCCGTCAGCACCGCCCAGCACCGCCTAGCACCGCCTAGCACCGCCCGGGGCGAGGCGCTGCCCCCACTCCACGCTGCTCCTCTCTAGGATCGAGATCAGGATCGGGATCGGGGCGGCACGCGGCGAGGCCACACCAGCACGGGCGGCAGGGGTGCTCGGTTCAGTTCAAGTTCACGGACAGCAGCACCGCCATGGCGTCCCGCACGGCCCTGCTCCTGGGCACCGTCGCCGTCCTCGCGGTCGCGGACCTCACAGGTAGGCGTGGCGCCGCGTGGCGCACAGCCCGCGCGCAGCGGCAGTTAGGGTGGGCGGTACATCGCAGTGGGTAACCTTAAAACTAGCGGAGGTGGCCGCCGCGGGCGGGAAGCCTATCGAAAACTCGATCTTATGACGTGTCAAAAGCGTCACACTGCAAATACCCCATGCCTTGAGTCTGCCCAAAGGCCTCGCGCGCGGAGTAGTGACGACGTCATCGCCATTGTGACTCCCCGTCTTCTTCCTGCTGTGCGTGTGGCTTGCAGGGCTTGCGGGCGGCGAGCAGATCGCGGCGCTGCCGCAGGTGGAGTGCCCGGAGAAGGAGGGCGTGCAGACGTACCCGCACCCCGAGCTGTGCGACCAGTTCTACCTGTGCAGCAACGGCACCCTGACCCTGGAGCGCTGCCAGAACGGACTGCTGTTCAAGGGAGGCCCCGGCGCCACGCACCACCACTGCCACTACCACTGGGACGTGGACTGCAGCAGCAGGAGCGTTGAGCGTAAGCCCGTCCCGAAAAGCTCGGACTGTCTCTCTTGCACCCTCTTGACGTGCTTCGTGAGTGCGACTGAGACAGAGTGACGACTCTGATTCTGAATGTCTGGCAGTGATACCGCTGTCCTCGGACGGCTGCGAGTACCAGTTCGGGCTGTACTCTGACCCGGCCAACGCGTGCAGCGGCAAGTACACCCGCTGTGAGTTCGGCCGCCCCCAGCTGGTGGACTGCCCCCCGGGGCTGGCCTTCGACCTGGCCATCCACCGCTGCAACTGGGCCGACCAGATGGAGCACGCGGGCTGCACGGCGGAGCGTGAGTAGCGACGCCCGCCGGGACTACCCCGCGACCCAGGGACCCACTACTCGGGTCGCGGGGTATCGCCGCCAGACACTTCCAGCCTCCGCACTGGAGAGTGTCCTCTGTTCCTTCCTGTACTTTTCGACGCACTTCAACCAGCCTCAGCACTTCCACGATTCTATTTTTTGGCAGAGGTGATCGGGTTCAACTGCCCCTCGAGCCCGCCCTCCGACCCGGTGTCGGCGCGCTTCTGGCCCTTCCCGCGCTTCGCCATCGAGGGCGACTGCGAGCGGCTCATCTCGTGCGTCAACGGCCACCCCAGGATCGTGACGTGCGGCGACGACATGGTGGTGGACGACTCCACCCTCATGTGCGAGGAGCCCGAGCTGGTGCCCAACTGGTGAGCGCGCGTACAGTTAAATTCAACTTTCAGTTATAGGCCTCGTGGGAGCTTGCTGGGATCATTCCATCTGCATGTGTAGGAAAAAAAATTAATTCATCATTTCTCTTTCCTCTAGCCAATTTGTGCAGAGGAAGAAGCGTGAAGCATCGCAGGAGCAAGGGGCGAGCAGTTCCAACAACCGGTTCGAGAACGTCGTCCTTTAGAATTGTTAGTGTTTTTAAAGATTTATTTGTATTTATTAATTTTTAGTTCCCCTATACCTCGTGTTCCTTTTATTCTTAATGTATGCATTTTGTTTTCAAAGAAGTCGAAAGGTGAAATTAACAAGACTCTGTTTTATTGATGTTTTTTTTTTATTTTCTTAAAAATCCTAAACCTATAAATCATATGGTACAAAAATTTGATTCTCGAATGGATGCATGGTCCGGCATGAAAGGATGAGGGATGCGGTGAAAGGGGCGACAACAAACAAAGAGCAAGAAGGGACAGGTAGACAAGGGCTGGTTCAGTCTCATTCACTCACACAGACGCACATGCACGCACACGCTCACACGACACACACGCACACACAGGGACTATAAGTAACACGTGCTCACACGAGTGCGTTCTCTCTGCCGTTCTCGCTGCACTCCGGCAGGACAGGTACTGTACAACGGGTGGCCGGGCGGGCCGGGCACGCCGCCCCGGCTCAGGTTCGAGCGACTTGACGCACTTGGTGTTCTTCTGGACAACAACAGGGTGCCGTCACGGCCTCGGTCACGGCCGTCGTCGTGGACTAGTTGTTGTTGTTCCGCGCGCGCGCCCCGGAGCCGGGCCTCACGGGCAGGGGGATGGCGCCGGGCGGCACGTGGATGTTGATGGTGCCCGAGGTGCGGCCGCTGTTGGAGTTGGCCTGGTTGGGCACCACCTGCACCTGCTCCCGCCTGCTCTGCTGCTGCTGTTGCTGCTGTGGCCGCTGCTGTTGCTGTGCTGTGCTGAGGTCGCTGTTGCTGCTGTTGTTGCTGCTGCTGCTGGGGGCGCGGCTGCTGTCTGATGGGGGCCTGCTGGGGGTAGTTCTGGCTGCCGTTGTCGGCGTCCTCGTTGCCGTTGCGGTTGCGGTCCTCGTCGGCGTCCTCGGGCGACGGCGCGGGGGTGGTGGGGATGTCGCAGTCCTCGGTGGGGGGCACGACGCAGCGCAGCGACTGCTTGTCGAACACCAGCATCGCGGGGCAGCGCTGCAGGCGCGGGTAGCCTCCCTGGCACTGCCAGTACCGGTTGCAGGACTTGCCGAGGGGCACGTTGCCGTTGGCGTCGTCCACGCAGAGGGCTGCAACGGAGAGGTTTCGTGAGGTTCGCGTCGAACGCCTGGTGGGTAGGCAGCCCGCCGACGGCGTGCTCGGCGGGCTGGCCTACCCCGAGTTCGTTAGGCGCTCCGACCCGGGCGCCAGTCTCGCGTGTCTCTGGTACTCACGGTGCTTTTGACAGCCGTCCACGTTGTCGGGCCAGTCGCAGGAGTGCGTGTCCTCGTTGTAGAGCAGGCCGCCGATGCAGAGCTGCTCGGTGGCGGTGCCGTTCCAGCACGTCCAGTACCTGGAGAAAGGGAAAGCCTTGTTAGCGCGCCGATCGGCAGGCGGACATTTCGGCGCCAAGTTCGAAGCGGGCGAATGCCGGCGAATGCGTACCTGGTGCACGATGACTCGTGGCCGAAGATGCCGTACAGCCAGTCGCAGTGCTCGGTGCTGATGGGGCCGTCTGGGGACAGAGACAGGTCGTCACTAGCGAGTCCCTACCACAGCGTGAACGAGAAGTTGGCCGGTCGCTACGTACTTGCGAGCTGCTTGTCCTCGCAGTAGTTGGCTCTCCAGGGGTAGTCGCAGCCCTCCGTCACGCCGCGGTGCTTGCCGGCGAACACCAGCCCGTTGGGGCAGTCGTACAGCTCTGGCTGCCCGTTGACGCACTCCCAGTACCTGCGGGCAGACGCGAGCTTTCAGACTTGAGACTTGGGGAGGCCTGCTACAGCGTGCCGCTCTCTCACAGTGTGCACAGAGTGTTGTTGCGCTTCTCGCTGGAAAAGAAATCCTCCTTTCCACATGTCTCTCCCCGTCTGTCTCCAGGCCAAGGACAGCCACAACGCGGAGACGCGCCGCTCAAGAAGAATCCCATCCTTAGGAAAAAAGAGGTGTATTTTTTTCATTCGTGGAACCCGTCACAGTTTTGCCAAGATCCGAGAGGCGAGTAAATAACTGTGATGACAGTGATCTACTACTGCCACCTGAGGATTACTCACAGCCAGCAACGAGGCGCCCGACCTGCCAAAATGTTAAATTAAATCAACGGCAGGGCTTTTTTTCTCGCGAGGAGTGGCAACGTGCGTGGGAAAGGGTCCGCCGGCCTCGCCGCGCCCTCGCCGCGCCCTCGCCGCGCCCTCCCGCCCAGGCAGCAGTTGCAGCGACGCCTCAATTGTCACACCCATCAGGCTGCCGCCGCCTCGGCGCCACCTCGGTGACAGAGAGAGAGAGAGAGAGAGAGAGAGAGAGAGAGAGAGAGAGAGAGAGAGAGAGAGAGAGAGAGAGAGAGAGAGAGAGGAGAGAGAGAGAGACGCCGCGGGGAGTCCCGCTCGCGTGTCGACACCACTGTGTGCACCACTGTGTGCAGATGGGCACGTACACAGCAGCGGAAATAGGCTTTTTCAAGCACCCCGTTGAAACGACTTTGCCGTCCGTCCGCACACGTTACTGGTACTCACGCGGAAACATTGCCGACGACCCACTGCTTACCTATCACAGTATGTGGCGTCGGACACGACTCGGGCCTTGTTCTGGCACGGGTCCTCCACCTGCTGCTTCTGGGGCTTGTTGTTCTGCTGGGCGCAGCATCCTGGAACAACAACAACTCGGTCACTATCTGCATCGGCAGCCCGGGGCGGGGCGGGGCGGGCGGGGCGGGGGGCGGCCTCCACGCCTAGCCTAACCTGGCCAGGCCAACGGCCGGCACGGCGGCCAGGGCACGGCGGCCAGGGCACGGCGGCCACGGCTTGGCCTGACCCGGTCCGGTGATGCAAAGAGCCGGCAGGGCGGCCAGGACGGCCAGGGCAACGCGGTGCTTCACCGCGGGGCACCGTTTAGAATATTGCGCGTGCTGTGTGTGCCCTGCGCAGCCCCGGCGCTCGACTGCCCCGGGGCACGGGTTCGAACCCCGCCGCCCGGCGCCGTTTTTGATCCGTTCAAACGGCGGCGCGGCGGCGCTGCGGTTTGGCGCGCGCGGGCCGCGGGACTCATCCCATCCCTGTGTCGACACGCCGCCTCGCTGCGCCTTGCCGCCTTGCTCAATGGTGTTGGAATAGGCGTGCCTACTGCAGTAGGTGGAGTGGCACCGCGAGGCACCGTCAGGCACCGAGCGGCGACTCCGCCAACGACTCCACCCTCGAGGAACACTCGCAGAGCCCTCGTGCTCGCACCACTGCAACCGCAGCCGTTTTGTAACCAATTCTGTAAGATTGAAACAAGGGCTGAGACCGCGTCGTGACACACCCCCCACCACCAGCGCGCCGAGGCGGACCGCGGCACCGCGGCACCGCGGCGGCGACGGTAGTGACCTTGGGGGAAAGCCGACCTGGTCCCTGGCGGTCCCTAGCGGTCCCTGGTCCTGCAGCGTGTGCAGGCTGCAGGCCGCAGGGCGTGGTGCTTGGTGGGCCGTGGCTGCCGCCGCCCTGCGAGGCGAGGCACCACTCGAACAGTCAGGGAAGTGGAAATTACTTTTCGCGCTCGCATCGTCCCGAAGGGTTTGGACTTAAACACAGCCTGCCTAAACTGGCTAGCGCGCGGAGCGAAAAAACACACACTCGCACACACGCGCGCACTCACACTCACTCACTCACTCACTCACACTTACGGCCGCACACCGGCCCAATGCAAGCGAACGCTAATTTGAAGCACGCGTGCACTTTCACCGATTCCAGGCTTTCTAATTAATTAGAAACTGTATCGGTGCGCCTGGAGCAGTTGTTTTTGTTTGTTCCAATTATGTGTTGTTGTTACGTGACTTGAACACTGGCTGAGGGGCCATTGTTCCGATGGAAATTCGAACGGGCCGCGGTGGCGGGGCGGGGCGGGCGGGGTGGGGCGGGGTGGGCGGGGTGGGCGGGGTGGGGCGTGGCGCGGCGGGGCGGGGCGAGGCGGGGCGAGGAGTGTCGGCGCGCCCTCATGATGCAACGAGGTCATCATTTGTTGTTCTGATTTGGAAGGCGTCAGAGGCCGCCGCGAGGCCCGGCGCGCACCCCCACGGACACGGTCGACACGGAGTCTTGGAGGAGTCTTGGAAGGACGAGAAGAAAGTGACGTCTCTCCTGTCCTCGGCCCTTCCCCTTGACCTTTGGCCTCGCCTTTGGCTGGTCGACCCTTGACCTCCGCCGGGGCTGTTCCGTCGTCTCGTCTCCAAGCGCGATCCACCGCAGACTTGCCGGCCGGCGCGTGGCACGTCTCCAAGACTCAAAACGTCAAACGGTTTTTTTTCTCACTGCCGTTTTATTGTCGCTTCAGTTTTTGCTGCCGGAGCCGAGCCAGCTGGCCGTCTCCACACACGCGCCGCGGCCGTGCCCCGCCGTGCCCGGCCCTGCCGCTCGCGGGACTTTCTCGCCGATTTGGCACCGGGCTGCAAATTCGCCCCGCTTCCGTCCTCCGTCCGGACGGCGTCCCCCGTGCCTCCGTCACGACGAGGAACACCAGGCTTTCTTCCGTCGGACGAATCGCCGCATCCTGACCGTTTCGTTTTGCTTCCTCATTTCTCACCGTGATTCTTCTCGCCGTGACTGGCGTCGCGCCTGCCTCTCTCTCTCTCCCTCTCGTTGCCGGGCAAGTGTGAAAAGCCTCGCCGTCCGCCAAGCAGCCCCGCGTGAAAAGCGCAGCGCCAACGCACTAAGAAAGAAAAGCCTCTCCTTTTGAGCTTATCCCGAAAACGGGGCGGCCGGGCGGGGCGTGGCGGGGTGGGCCCTTCCCATATTATGCGCTGTTACAACACACGGCAGGCGACCCGGCCAGGCCCGGCAGGCCCAGCTCGGACGACGGGCTTACCTAACCGGGCGAGCCCGTCTGGTACCCGTGGGCCTCATGAGTACTCGGGCAACGGGGGGTACCGGGGGGTACCGGCGCGGCGTGGCGTACCGGCTTCCCAAACCAGTCCAGGTCGCGCTGACAAATGTATAACCGAGTTGCCCAATTTGATCGGGTTGCCGCATCGGACGTATCAGCGGGTCACCTTTAGCGACCCCGGAATGATAACCGTGTTGCCGACATCGCGGCGTCGGCGGCGTCGGCGATGCCAGCGTGCCGCCGTTGTTGTCGCCAGTCGTACTCGTTCTCACGACCG